TATGGTCAAAATGTCGATATAGGAGTCAGTATTAATTTTTGTTAGTAACTTAACAGAAAAGATACATATAATGATGAAGATGGAAAGCCCTAATTTTGAGTGACAACGAAAAACGAGAAAACTCCTACGCCCCGTGTGAGAGTCGAACTCACAACCTCTGGGTTACTTGCCCAACGCTCTGCCAATTGAGCTAACGGGACATCCGTCGATCAATCGGCAGGGAGGTCGAGTTCTCATCACACACCAGGCGGCAGGTTCCTTCTAACTCCCGAAGTCACTCGAAATCATGCACTATACGAAGCATCGCTGGAACCCAGATAGCACAAATACATTTTGAGGCCCTTCTGAGGCTTTCACAATAATGTCCTCAGGTCGTCGAGGGCGAGCCTGACGACATCCCTAGACCGTCCTCCTGTTACCGTTCTCTACATCCTAATAACGTCTCAGAACATCCTTATAAGGTCTTCTAGGACATGTATAGGACATATGGAAACATTTTTAGGTAGTATTCAAAAATATCTAGGGATAGGCGCTGATATAAATGGAATTTTATTGAAAAGATATGTATGTATGTATCATGATATTTGCAAAATTTCCCTGGAATAATAATATGTTCAAATGAAAAACTAACATTCTATTATTTACAATTCATTGTGAAGATTTTCGAGTTTCGTTTCGAAAAAATGTATCTCAGATTCTTGTTGAGCACTACTAGAAGTTATTGCCCATTGGCAATATTTCTCTATGCTGTTTTTGATTTCTCAACTCTGGATGCTGAATCTACTGAAAGTTGAAGCCCTCATACAATTTTTATAGATGACATCAAGTTTGTGTTTCCATAACCTTCTTAAACAATGATTAGATATCTTATATCCATGTAATATCTATGATTTGATCCATCTACCTTTGTTCCTTTCGTCCTCAGAGAAAACTCATCATCAACATAATAATACATTATGATGATTTTTGTTCTGTCCTAATTCTGTTCTCTTCTTGTTATCATTTGTGATTTCTGAACCCTGGACATACTTTCAGATGCTCAATTCACTGAAAGTTCAAGCCTGCATACAATATTTCATAGATTCCGAAGAAGCCAAAATATGTTGGGATATCAAACATCTCTGATCTGATGATATAATGATCAAGTTTGTGTTCTCATCAATAACATACTGGAACAAATAATGATGTTTTAATATTTCCTGTCCAGTACCTACTATCAATGAGTTGATTCAGGTAGGTACCTATCTTTATTGAATCCACTGAAAGTTCAAGCCTCCATACAATGTTTGATAGATTCCGAAAAAGCCAAAATATCTTGGAATTAAACATCTCTGCTCTGATGATATCAAGTTTGTGTTCTCAAAAACCTCCTGAAATGAAATAATATATTTAATATTTTATGTCTAGTTCCTACTATCAATGATTCGATCAATTAAGTACCTGTTATTTTCCTATTAATTTCTCAGAGAAATATTATCATGAGACATAACCTCACTTCTAGTATTTCTAGTTCTTCTTCTTCTTCCTTTTGGCTTCGTCGACACGTTATTTCATGGAATGTCATCTGAAGACATCCGTAGGCACGAAATCTGCTGCAGCCTCAGGCTGTCACTGAAAGATCTTCTCTAGGACAATTACGGCGCTGAATCTACGCCTGATGATGTTATAAGGTTGTAGAAAAAATAACGTCCTCTCTAGGCGTTTGGCAACACATTGAGGATGACCCTAGGCGATTGTGTGCTATCTGGGAAAAGGATGGTAATATACAGTCTCCATATGTGTGTGATGAGAACTCGACCTCCCCGTGTTCGATGACGTCATATTGACGAAGATAACTAAATGTCATCAAGACGTCTCACTAAAGTCAACTTCTTGTCATTCGTGAACTTAACTCATTGGGGTCTCCATATTCTCCATAGAATGTGCAATGAATCACCTCCATTATTACCACACATGAGAAACGAATTTAGGAAAACTGAGCTACAGGGTGAGTCAAAATGGTGTTCTCCTTCGATATCAGCCGTAGATATAGGTATGGAAAAAGTTAGAAGACAATAGCTTTGGGGTTTCATAGGAACAATCACGTCAAATCATTTTCATATCTATAGGGTGTTTGAACCCCGAAATATCGGATAATAATGAGTTCTTTTTTGAATGGATACCCTGTATTTCATTGCATCTTCATATTATTCATGGATACCTCATTTAATTAGTACATGAGATTTATGGTCTAGCGAAAATGATAACAGAGAAATGAGGTGTACAAAATCAAGATTTTTAAAATTCAGGATTTTTTTGCTTCGAAACTTTTCATCATCGCTCAAAACGGTCAACATGTTCTCAACTTCACATTTGACTCACCATCTACTGACATAATTTTAACAGATACAGGGTGATCAGAATTCTGAATCATGAACCACCCTATATTTGTTCCAATTAAATGTCAGTATATATCAAATCAAAAGTTCAATAGGGACCTGTGAGCCGTTCTGACAAATAATAAATAGTTTCGACACAAAATAACTGAAATTGAACAATCTTGTTTTTGAACACCCCATATATCACTGTAATCATTCTCGCTAGACTCCAAGTGGGATGCATTGATGAAATCGGCTCTCCAGGGTGAACCTCAGAATGCAAAGATATACAGGGGTCCCATTAAAAAAAAAAATTTCAGCTGATATCTTGAAATTTGATCACCCTATAACTATGAAAACAATTTTGTGGAGAGTTCTCATGGGACACTATAACTGCTGTATTTGAATTTCCGCTACATATCTGTCGTTTGGTGAATGAGAGAATGGAGAACACATTATTGACTCACCTGGTATGGTTCAACTGTATATATGGACAGGTTTGAAATATACTTATGGGTCATACATATCGAGTATATCAATGCACACACCTATGAATAATCAATTTGTGATGACCATCGACCATCGACCATCCAGTACTATCTGGTTCTGATAGGCCGCCGCTTGCTTCCCAGACAGCACCAGATATTCCATGAATCTCCCTATCATATTCCTTTTGGAATATTGGAATATTCTAGAAATAATCTGGAATATTCCGGAATATCTGTGGAATATTCTCTAAATATGCGAATGTGAATTCCTCAGATAATCATAGAATATACCCAAAAGAATATTCTATGTTGAATGTTCCTGGAATATTCCAATAAACATATTCTGAAATAAGAAAAAGTGACCCAAGTAGGGATCGAACTCGTGACCTCAAGACTATCAGAGCAACGCCTTGACCACTAGGCCATTAATCGAATTGAATAATGTTATACATTTCAAGTTCTTGTGAATGCATTGTTCGAAATCGGATCATAAACACTTTGTTTCAAAATCCCCTTACATCTAATTCATAATGTTCGATACTCACATCTCTGAAATGAGAAATGGTATTTACCCATATAGCACTCGACGTCCTGAGGACGTCCAGTTTAGGCCCGATTTAGGTCTGAACGTCCGGGACCTTTTCAAGACGTACTGAAAACGTCCGTTTCTGGACGCATTGGGTACGTACGATTACGATGTACTGGGTACGTCCAACTCTGGACTCTCTCGACTTTCAAGGGATGAGATTGAATAAAACTGTATATAATGATAATTGAAATCATTGCACATAATTTATTATACCCTCGATCTCTGATATCTATTCATTTAGGAACCTTGCAAACATGAACATAATACATTTCTCACAATTCTTTTTTACTGGCCGTAACTAATCACAATAAAACATCTATTTAGGTATTATCTGCCATGATCATCTAATTCTATGCAAGTACCGATGTGAATGAGGATCAATTCAACATTCGCACATAATGTCTTGTTGTATACTGACATATATTCGCTTAATACAATCTAAAGTCACTGGATGTTATTAGTTTGATAACAAGTCTTCTGTAGAGCAATAGGTAAAGCATCTGCACGGTGATCTGAAGGTCGTGGGATCGATCCCTGGTAGGAGCCCTTTTTTTTTAATTTCATTAGTCAAAATAATACTTTTTTTACCCTATCTAGGTCTCTATTTTAACTATCTGAGTAAAAACAGGTGGATCTACGTAGATTCAGGTATTAGTGGTCCCGTTCAGACCTGAACAGGACCTTTATCGTACGTCCTGGGGACCTCTGGTTGTGTAACATCGTATGTCCCCAAAACGTCCTGAAAACGTACGCCGTACCTAAAATGGACGTTCTGCGGACGTTTCCAATGTCCGAGGTGTACGGCTTGAGGACGTTTTCGAGACGGCTCTGTGCTATTTGGGTATGTGTTGAGAAACATACAATAGGAATATTCATGGAATATTTCATGAATATACACCACAGAATATTCAGTTGAGAATATTTCATGAATATACCGCACAGAATATTCAGTTGGGTATATTTCATGAATATATAACAGAGAATATTCAGTTAGGAATATTCCTGGAAGATTCATACCTGAATATATTCCCTGAACATGTCCGACTATTCACTTTGGAATATTCCTTTTAGATGTTCCAGAGGCATGTATATATTCTAGGAATAATCGATGAATATTCGGAATATACTCCTCCTTTTTAGCATATTTAGAGAATATTCTATGAATATCCAGTGCTGTCTGGGTTATCAGTGCAACCAATAGTGTGTTGACGTATACAATTGAACCACCTAAGGAAGAGCTGCTTGTTCGAAATTTCTTGAATATGCAAGAAATGCCGTATCATCAGCAATAGGCGAATCTTGTACAAAACTGGTCTTAGCAAATCACTAGTACATAGATTATACAACAGCGGCGATGGAACGACACCTTGAAGAACATCAGCTTCAATGAGCTTGTTATGTATTCAATAAATTTCATGTTCTGAAATAAAAACGCTCTCGATTACAACAATAAGTTATCCATACACTTGTCAAATTATTTCACCACAACTCATATTGAATCATTTTCTGTTTCTGATGAATACTCTCCATTTCATCATGACAGTAATCTTTTTTATTATTTTCTAGTTATTACTTTCCAATTCCAAGGTCTACAGATGAAGGTCACCGTATAACCATATTCAAATTGATCGATCCCAATCCGGATAATTTCAACGAGAACCTTTTCTTTGCGCAATTGTTCAACACCTTCGAGGTTCGGTTGCATGAAGATTTTTTCGTTGGAGAAATTTTAGTTTACGATTTCAGAGACGTATCACTGCATCATATAGTTAAAATGACACCAACATTGATCAAGAAATCTACAACAGTTTTAGAGGTGAGTTACATCTATGCAGGGTGTCCCAAAATTGCTGGGACACAGAGCTACCACGTGTAGAGGAGGTCAAGAATCAGTTGATTGGACCCAATTTATTCATGTGCCAAAATGTACCGTCTGTCCGTAAGAAGGGTTCAAAGTTCACATAAAAAAACACATTCTTGTGTACTGTTCTGAAATAAAAGGAACGAATTTGATAAAATTTGGTGATGATATATTTCAGAGGATTACTCACCTTCTGATAATCGAAGAAACCTACAAGAAATTGTTGAATGGTTGAAACCACCCTCACCTCTTGAAATTTTTTTCAGAACTTTTGGACGAGTCATGATACGGTTCTGAAAGTTTTTGAGTTTGAAGACTAATCAATTACCTTCATTTTATTCCTTCCGTGAAAATTTCGCATTGTTTGAGAAAAATCTCTCAGATAATGCTACTAGATATTCCTCTATAGTACAACTTTATATAAATTGAGATATAAAACTTGGTTGGCAGTGGAAACAAAAGCAGAACGTTTTTTTATAATATTTATATTCAATATGACGCCCACCTTCACAGGTGTTCGGAAGTATCAATTCGAACATCATAAACTCTTGTTAGATGAAGAAGTCGCACGGATTCAAATCTGGAGACCGCGGAGGCCATTGAATAGGTGCTTTTTGTCCCCTACCAATCCACCTATAAGGAAATTGTTCGTCCAGATATTGTCCTACAGTTTCGACAACCATTGAGGAGCAAGTCCTCTTATAAATCTGGCAAAATTTCTTGGAGAAGCTGAAGGTATCGCCTTGATGGTGCTCAAGGCGATCTGGCAATCGGATCGACGCAACCAAACATGTTTCGATAAATCCGATCCAAACAATAATTTTGAATTCTCGTTGATAGTATCTAGCTTTGATGACTTGTGGGTTCTCATCAGCATATACATGCTCATTGTGCAGGTTTGTCATGCCACGGCGTGTTTTTTTTTCCAGGGGAACTTAGAACTTTTCTCACGGACAAACGGTACACTTTGGCACATAAATGAATTGGGTCCAATGAGCTTATTTCGACCTATACTACACGTGTTAGCTGTGTGTCCCAGCAATTTCGGGACACCCTGTATTTTCGAATCGCAGAATATGCTATAATATAGAGCTCTTCACGGTTAGCAATCTGAATCTTGAAATGTGATGGTATGTATTCGACATGATCATTACGTCTAGAATATTTCAAATGATGCGACGTTGCTGGTTCCCTTCCCCAGGCTGTAATTTCTGCAAGATCTGCATTGACAGCGTTGGCCTGCCTTCGTCGTAGGTTCGTAGTTCAATGTTAGCAAAGTGGATTTTTAGAAGAGAACACAGTATGGAGAGTACTATGGTCTGCGAAACTGTGGATAGAGCAAGTGTTTGCTCCCAATAGAACATTGATGTGGGGTAGGAACAATGTTGGTGCCAAAATAGATCCTTGTGGAACGCCGAAACTGATGGCAATGGTATCAAACGATACTTCGTCCACTATCACATGCCGCAATCTGCCTAAGAGAACGAACATGAGAAAATCCCAATAATGTTCGAAGTTGTTACTTCATTATCGACCTTTTTGTAAGTGCAGCCCTTGAAGATCTATTGTGCTCCTGTCCTTTGCTATGCCCAAGGTTATTCTCGATAATGGAAGCAGTTGGTCTAGTCCAATATTATCAACAAAATTCAGAGTATGTAGTTATTTCAGGAACAATACCCTAACAACACCAGTACATCCTATAGGAACTTCCCATGGACGTCCCCGATTTTATACTAGGACATCCCAGGGATGTCCTTTGTCGGGACAACATACATACTGGGGATGTCCCAGGGACATCCGCTGGCCGCTAAAAAAGGCATCCAAGGGATGTCCTTCTGGTACGTCCCTGGGATGTACCAAGTACGATGAAAGGATATTCCTAGGACGTCCCAAGGATATCCCAGGGACATCTTCTCGACAAAAGAAAAAAGTTGCAGGTCGAGTAGGGATTGAACCCGGGACCTTTGGCTTATCATGCACGCACCTTGCTCCATTGGCTATCATGCCTCCTGAAGATTTATGTACTAAACAGATTCATAAACAGGACTCAACTACTGAGACCTGAATAGATACAACTTCATTAGGAATTGGGTATAATTATTGTCATTCTTGGGTGTTTAAAAATGAGGGGCATTATGCATGTACGATTTCTGTCTGCGAAAAATGGTAATTTCTGAAGAAGACTTTATTCTTTATTTTCATCACAATCATTTTCCGGAAGAGAAACAAACATTTTCAAAAAAATTCAACTCAATAGTTTGATGAAATTCAATGACTCTGATGTGAATGGATATCAGATACTTTAGGGACACGAATAGGATAACCTAGGGATGTACCGGGCGGGATGTTCACTGGACAACCACTGCAGGACATCCCCTGGATGTCCCAATCATGTCCTTGTACCGCGGGACAAAAAAGGGACGTACCTAGGTAATAACTGTGTTGTTAGGGTAACTCCTTCTTCTCCTCCTTCTGTGGGCCTTGCTCTCGGGTTTTCTTGGGTGACATATTCCTTGAGTATGTGAATAGATTTTTCCTCCTCCTTTCTAGAGGAACTGCAATAATCTTCTGAACTTAGCTTTCAAAGACGTCCTTTCAATTGGCAAAACCCTTTTTGGAGTCTCGTTAGTATGTGAGGTCCATTCTGCAATGTCCTGAAACTCGTAGGAGGGTGACTGTATTTCTGTTGGCTACCACGTTCAGTTTTTCCTGGTACTTCTTCACCTGATGGGACTTGATAACAATGGAGCTTAGCACTTTGATGACTGCTATCCTATCCTTCATCGACAATTTCATGTTTCCAGTCAAGAGCATAATAGTTTTTCATCGTTATTTTTATAATCTTTATCAATATTATTGCCATCATTCTTATCATCATTATTCCTTCTTACAATATTAGATGTCAACTGGTTTCATTGAATTTGATCTTCCACAGAAAGTCTTCAACAACTCTGTACATCAGATACACATTGTCAACTATCCACCATTTGCAGATACATTGATCAGGATGGCAAAACAAATCATGAAGCAGAAACTTGTGAAAAGGGTGAGTCGACCAAAATATGATATTCACTCATCTGTCTCCTATATGATGGATGAATTAATCAAAACGGTATCAACAAATTTGATAGTACACCAAAACTGATACTTGATTGAAGTCTTGAAGAGTTTGGATTTCCTGAAATCGAATCAACGTGGACTTGAATACCTAATTCCCAAACATAAATTTGAATTCACTATGAGGTGTTCAGGACTTTATGTAGATGTAGATAATTCTCCCTCTGTCAGTTGTACGATGAATTGGTATAGTATTGGGTCCTCCAACAGATGTACTCTGATGTTGAACGAGGCAATTAGCCATGAAAGTAGTTATTTGCTGTCAAATATTCTGAATAAGATTACATACATATATATTTCTTCTATCAGGGAGAGAATGCTAATTATCATTGTCAGAAGAATTCCAATCTCTAATTGTGTAAGTTGATTAGTTCAATAGATATTATTCGATGTTCGTCGTGGCATATATATATAGCTGGGAGAGTATCTATTTTCTGTTGAACCAAGAAATGATTCATATTTTCACCAGATAGAAAAAGTGAATTCTCACTGTATTTCTCCATATGTATTGATTTTTTTAATGTTTCAAATATTGAATCTAAGAATATTCCTTATCAATAACGTTTTACCCCTTCCCCGGAACCATGATGGAGAACTCGAAATATTGCAGATACACAAAAAAAAACATTGAAATTCACACCTGTATATTTCTTAACATTCCAAAAATTTGTGAGCATGGAAAATCAAGCATGTTTCATCTGTCTGGAATATTTTTGGCAATGTGTTGTTGCCAATTCAAATAAAAATTGATAGCAAATTCCTTACCAATTTCATATGGAACTCCCTGTATGTCATTGTATTTTTATATTTCTTCAGAGAAGCTGATTTTATCATTTCATCATACTTCGGGTCTTGCAGGAATCATAACAAAGATAAAGGTTGTTCAAAATCTGTATTTTTCGACTCAAGGATATTTTGTATCGAAAAAAATCATTATTAGCTGGAACGGCTCACATGTCCCTATTTTCACTTTCGATTCACTACCGACTGACATTCAATTGGAACAAATACAGGGTGGTTTGAGATTCAAAATTCTGCTCACCCTGTACCGTTTCAATTGAATGTCAGTAGATAGTCGATCAAAAGATCCCCTCAGGGGCTCACAACTCATGAGTACGGGAATGGTGAATCCAAAGTACCCTATCCGGATATTCACCATATATACTCCAACTTGTCTTGGGTGGTATCCTCCAATCGCTGCCTTTTTTTATCAATTCTATTGGCCTTCCTTAGCGAAATTCTCTTCTCCTCTTCCGCTTCAAACCCAACCTCACCATTCAGTGGTTGGGGAAGACAGATCACGGCCGCTAGACAAATAAAGCAAGCGTTTTGGGACCATTTTCGATGTCTGTCTCCAGATGGGATATTAATTTCTGGACATCTGTGGCAAAGCTGGAGCGATTTCCTGATATCTGTTTAGGTGGCCAAGGACTGGTCAACAAGGCTCTGGACACCTACCAAGCTGTGGGAACTCGTGGCGATGGATAAATGGCACCTAGTAATGGTGTCGCTAACAGTGCCTCTGGAAAAAGAGGCAACATCTCAGAGTGAACAGCCTTTGCCATGTGCAGGGGGCACCACAGGGCTGGACCAAACCCTTTCTTCGTTACTCCTAGGAGAAGCGAAACTTGTGATCTTCTCCTTGGACGAGAACAGCGATCGGAAGAGTTAACTTCAAGAGCCTGAACGAGAAACGTCATTCATATTGAAGTGGACCATAACAAGTACTATGAGTCGTATAAAGTGGAATTGACGAAGGCATGTACCTGAGAAACAATGGGCCACTAGGCCTAAATGTCGTCAGAGATATCGGTCAGACGAGCCTACAAACGGAGTGGAGTGTTTAGTGGGTATTCTCAGGAGTTAGGGGACTCCAATACTACCGAATGAGGAATCAGACCAATATGATGTCCATACAAGATTTCAATCATTCCGACAAGAAAAATCAAAAATAAGGAAAATAATATGTGAGTCTTTTCGACCAATAATGAACAATTTCGATACAAACAAATAAAAGTTGAATCATCTTGAATCTGAACATCTGATATCGTAGTAATCATTTTCTAGACCCCGAGTGTGATGATTTGATGAAATCAGCTCTTCAGGATAGGGCTTAAAGTGAAAAGGAATACAGAGTATGCTACTTGAAATGACAAAGATGCAACACCGTATTGGCCAATATGTAACTCTATACAGAAAATGTTTCCATTATACAATTCGATGAATGAACTAGCGACCTATTTCTCATTTGTTCAATCTGATTCCAGCTACATCTTCATCAAGGCATGGACAAGATAGCAGATTTTGTGCCGGTCAAGTTTCTACCAAAAGAGTTCGGAGGGGAGGAACGGAGTTTGAAGGAACTTCATGGTAATGATCATCGTTAGGAGTCATAATGATTTCACAGCTTCTTGAATTGCTTCATCTTGGTAGAGTCCGACCACGTGAAGTTTGAGGCAGAACGTTGTCGCGTTTGCATTGTAATGCATAAGTGGAAGTAGAAAAGATCTGAATCATCATACACTTCGAACAATATATTCACCGGTATTACCCGACACATTAGCATTTTGAGCTTTCATATGATCATTATATGTTGCAATGAATGTTTGTAGTGTGATATAATGGGAAGAAAACATTCGAAGTTGATCAATGAGGTACAAGACGATTATCGCTCTTGTGACCCTAGAACCAGCTAGTAGGGGTTTCTTGTCTTACTCAAATAGAAGCGTTTCTTATGTGATTCATATAAGTAAGCTGAAGAAATTATAATAACAATACTTTTTCAACAGTGGTGGTGCTTTTGACTCTCCTCACATTGATTTTCGAAACTTTTCGTTTTCAAGGCAACATCTGATATGAACTGTGACCATTTTATTCCAGTGTCTTATAATTTCAAACTTAGCTGTTGTGAATCAATTTCACTTATCTTGACATCATGCGATAGATGTTCCACAAATTAAATTATTCAGAAAATCTCCTAGAGAAAGTGTGTCATTGATAATATGTGCGGGTTGATTGAGAAAATGGAATATTAATTTCTTTAGATTTTGTTGATTGAGAAAATGGAATATTAATTTCTTTAGATTTTAGGATTTGCCTCAAAATGTCACTGGTTTTGAAATTGGACCCCTCACTAATCTTATGGAGATTGGTTCTTGGTAAAATTATCTGAAATCTCAGTATGTTATACTTTGTGCCATCCTGATCGAATGTCCCAATAGGCACGAAGTGAAACAGCCAGAATTGTGCTCAGACATGAGTGATTATACTCAAAATTTGGTGAATTTCATGTTCTTGAGACTACTGGCGAGTTCTGAACCCCTTCTCCGAGGGTGGGAATGTGGTGGAAATGAAATGTCATATGGGATAAGGGTTGAACGGAGTGAAATTGTACTCTGGGGTTTTCGGGATCGCTGATTTAATTTCCGGGACCAGTTTTTACCCGTGCACCTAACTAGGGGTGTGTAATTCCACCCCTTGCCCTCCATTTTCTCCCTAGCCGATCATCTGATCTCATTTATAAGTATAAGTTTCTCAGCATTGGTATACGGAAATAGTGAGCAACTAACTGAAAGGTGACTGCGATATGTTTTCCATTTCATTTCCATCATTAACGGTTTCTTCACATTATTGAAAACTGAAGAAATCGACATTAATCAAACTCAGTCAATGATAACTTTCTATGTGACCGGCTTGACTTGAACCCGTTGAACCTTTTTATGCTCTCAGAGAAGTCTCATGTAAGTTCGACCATGAAAATTATAAACTGAACAATTTCCTTGATATCATAAAAACTTCAAGTTCCTGAATTGTGACAAGTAAGAAGAGCCTCTATTACCTTGTTTGCATGAATGAATTTTCTGCAAGAACGTTTATGAGGTCGATAATAAAATTAGACCAGGAACTACAATTCCAAGACGCGATATGGACCATCCTCCTCCAGAAAAGACTTATTGGAGAGATAATGCATTGTTTTCAAGGTTGCTGATGACATTTTTGAGGTCATTTTCCACTTGTGACTCCCTCCCTGAAGGTGGAAATTGGGAAGGCTAGGGGGTGAACATAAGACATTCACGGGGGAAATATATTAATGATATAGTATCTTTACTGCCTATGGGGGTTCAGAAGTGAGAACAGACCTTGGAAATGAAGTCAGTGTTTCCGAAGACCCCACCGTCCAGATCCCATCCTATATAATTCACCAATTCTCACTCCCAACCTCCCCCCTCCTCGCCCCTTCGACCTCAGAAACGTTATTTCCATTTGAATACACGTTCCATTGGTTGCCTATTGCTTTCCAAACACTTCATTCTGTCTTATTCGGGCGCGAATTCAGGATTTAGTCAGTTACCAAGATAGTGACAGAGTGCAGTAAACAGCTTTGGGGTCTGTGAAGCCTCACCTGTGTGAAAAAAATATGCATTAAATTCTGAAGGGTGAATGTAGATACATGTTATTTCCATTCACTGCTTGCTACGTTTTCAGCTGATAACTTGAACATTTGCATAATCAGTGTTGCATGAAATCTCACAGAATTGAGTTTTAGAAGATATCATGTTTTTTCCGTAACAATTTCGCCGTTTATATGTCCTCAATCATATCTCATCCTTTTTTAAAATATATTTCTGTTTATAATGAGGACTAACATTATTTTTGTCTACCAAAACGCGCCACTGAAACTTGGGGTCTTGCTGGATGAATGAATACACTTCTGCTCCTCGTGACATTTGTCATTTCTCAATGATATTATCTTCTTCGTCAATGTAAGAATTCACATCGCGAGTAAAAACACGTGAATCGGCTCAAGCCTTCCTATTCCTATTTGTACAAATACTCACATAATTTGTATCCATCATTTTTGGTGAAACAGGCAAAATTCTAGGATTTTTGACTCTAACACTGACCTCAAGATTGAGTAGCGGTACCTGGTGAGTGAACATAAACCTGGGAGACGCCGAGGATAGCATTTTCGGATTATTATGGCCAGAATAGATGCTTTATTCTGCAAGTGTTTGTTTACGTCTGCGTCGGCGTTGATAAATAATAAAATGAATTTCTAACCCATTATCTGTGAAAATGAGCATTCCCGGACTTTGTGCCCATCGGAAAATGTGTTCAGTAATGCACGGAGTATAATAACATACTGAAATTTCACTAAAATGGTGAAAGAAATTATCATGCATCAATTAGAGCTATAACGTCTCCTGAAAATCGTGCCAAAAGGCAAGTTTTTTCAGACAATATGAATGCCATCGCCGAGAAAAAAGAAATTAAAAAAAAAGCAGAAATATCCAATGATGCAGGCAGTGTCAAATGTATATCTAAATCACGTATTTCAAGTTCTTCAAGCGTGAACCCATTCTGACCTCTCATGATGAAATGTCGGATGAAACTGAAAACTTTCGTGTCGAATATAGCGAATACTATTTTACTACGAAGTCAAAAGTTGAACCGGATTAAATGTCCTGAGTGTAGTGGTTGGCTACACGAGACTTGCGGGAGTCACTTAACCACATGCAATATAAGGGGGAAAACGCCCCATCGTATTATTTTTTCAATATAACTCTTTCGGAGAACTATGTTACTGTTTTGTCAAAATGTGTTCAGCATAATGAAATATACTGTTAAGCTAATATGTTTATGGAACTGGAATAAAAGATAAACTTGTATTTTTGTGAAAATATTGTTATTTTAAAATGTATTTCAATGGTTTACCCTAGTGGGCCATGGATTTCTCATTTTGAAAAGTGTCATTCAGAGAAACATCTCCTTTTGATTTCTCAATTAACTAACTGAAAACAGAATAGTAATGAAATGGTTATGATGTAGATTGAGCACCAGATTGAATATCTACTGAAACAATTGAATATCGAACGTATTCAGTAACTCATTCATTGAATAGTTCAAATTGATGTTTATTTTCCCTTCCTTCTTTCGATAGTAAGCCAACGAATTATTTATATAAAAGATTTTTACATCACTGGCAGAAAATGAATGAGATATCGACATGAGACAACCATTTCATGACCATTTTCAATTCTTCGTCAAGATAACTTTCTATATCTTGGTATTTCTCGAGTTATTTTTGTTTCAGAGCTATGGAAGTTGAAAGTAGCCGACTATAGGAAGAGATTCGCTGACTTGAGCAAGTTGAAAGTTGATGAGGCGAAGAGGCCGACTCCATTAATCAATGATGATTTACTAGGTTTCCATGGAAATTTCAAGAAATTGAATGTAGATTGACTGTCTGGAATGAATTATTGCTAATGCAGTTACTTTTTTATTCGAAATGTTATACTTATTTGAAAGACAAATACGAATTAAAACAACTATGAAATCAGAATATATGTGTTTATTTGAATAAAAAAATTACATCATCAAATGTGGGTCGGGTATATCTCATTCACTATTTCAATTATTTGTTATTTATCCTTTTCATATAAATGAACATTAACATTTCATTCTCAGGATTTTCCGATGGACACGAATTGAGGAAAGTTTCGGAATTGATGGAAATGTTTTGGCATATTCAGTGTGACAATGCATCTGATAAAACAATGATACAACCTGCCTTATTTCGAAGTTATAATAGGTATGTATATATCAAGAAAGAAGATGTATCCATTTCCTCCCGCGTGTGAAGTTCTACGAACGCATCAGTGGCGGCTCCTCAGAGGAGGCAACGGAGGCTGAGCCTCCTCAGAGATTTTTCTTGAACTGATATTATCTATACTTTCTCATTGAAAGGACACCAAAATACATGTATTTTGATTTTATTTCCTGTTTTTAGGTAAATATTTTCGAATTGGCAACAGTGCTTGCCCACGCATCACACGTTGAGGTCTGCGAATCACGCGTGAAATATTCAACTTGGCAACATCTATAGGAGGCTATACTCCTTCACAAACCCACTCGCGCAATGTAAATGCCCGAATACGCCCGAATAGCACGTGTTTGTCGTGTCGCGTCGCGAATTGCGGGCATTGTTTATGTTTATATTGGGTTAATGGTTAGGGGCTCTATAAATTTCTGAAAAATGAGTGTTTCAAACGATTGCAATTTAGTGGAATACTTTTTGGTGAACCCATTCAGTACTTTGTCCTATAAGATAAATTGATTGTGAAAAACAAACGTCCGACACCAGAATAAAAAAATCTGATTGTAACAGGTAACAAACAAAATCGTTCGTTCAATTCTGCTAATTATGAAGAATATATCTGGCTGACGGGATCTGAGGTAAGGAATAAGATATTTTGTTGGTACTGCGTATTATTTTCAACCGATAAGTCATCATGATGGGGGCGATTAGGATATAATGATTTGAAAAATTTGGCCCGCGGATTGGACAGACACTGCGAATCACAGGAACACATCTCTTCAAGTATTAAGTTCAGGTTAACTGGTAAACAGAATGTCATTGAAGCTATTGATTTGGGTGAGTAGAGAGTTGTTTTTCACAATCAATCTCATATCATTCAGCCTCCTCTGTCATGAAAGTCACTAGCCGCCACTGGAACGCATATATTTAGGAGCGTCGTTCCTAAAATTGTGCTTCGAGCGATCGGTCTCTCCAGTCTCGATCCAAATCAATGTGTTACATGATCTAAGGTTACGCGCAAATCGAATCCTAACGGAAGTCAATTTGACAGTGAAACTTCTGTCACATTGAATTTTTCCATTGTGTGATTGCATCTCATCCCATGTTTCGATTAGGTGAGTTTGGACTATTAGGAAGTATATGAGATAATTGCCTAGCAACCATTAACAATTGGTCCATATCTTTCAGAGCAATGTCATTCCAGTGAGCTATCATTGGCTTGATATCGGTATTTTTCAATAGTGAATCACAAAAGTGGCGGAGCATCAGGATTACAATCATTTATTGCTTATTTATTGTTGGCCGCAAGTGGAGCAACCTACTGGCTTATTTTCAGTGCATTCCCAATGGAAATCAAGTGGTAAATTCTCACACAGAGAATTCCAGGTTATGCATAAAAAATATTATTTCACTAATAATGATAATAATAATAATAGTAATAATTTTAATTACAATGGCATTTTTCGTATTCCCCTATTTCTCTCCTCTATGAATGAAGATAATAATAATAATGATCGACTTTATTCACCAATATAAAAAAATAATACAGAATATAATACAATGGAAACCTCTGTGAGCGAAAAAGAAAAGAAATAGATATGGAGCTAGTAAACTATAGTGAGCATGAGGAGAATAATAATATTTTTAGAGATAACAATCAAGATGATGAAATAATAATAATGATAATAATAGTAATAATAATAATAATGATAATAATAATGATAATAATAATATTATATTCAATTTCACATTTTCAGATATTGACAAATAGAAAAGCTAGGTTCAGCAGCAATCATTCAGTCCTGAGCGTATCTTAATGTTTGTTTCAATCTTCCTTCAAAGTTGTATAAAGAGAAATTCCTGTATTCTGTGGGGAGCGAATTATAGTGTTTGAATGTGTGTTCAGTGTTCAGTTTATTAACATTCGAGAAAGGGACTAGCCTTTCACGCAAATATGATGGTCCACCTATCTGTAGGACCTTATAAGTAAGTGTTAGTAAGTGAAGTTTGCGTAAGCTTTCTAATTTCAGCCACCCAGATTCTCTGAATTTAGAACTAATATGGTCGTATTTCCGAATACCGTAAGAAAATCGAATGCAGGAATTCTGAATTTTCTGAAGTTGATGAAATTGGAAGAAGACTGATTGGTCTGAGATGTGCCAGGTCCGTGGGGATGCTTATACACTTAGGGATGGGGATTACATTTGCACTTTTCCACGCCACAGGAAATTTGTTACAAGTAATGGCCAAATTGATTATGTATGTTATGTGGTCGAGCAGTTTATCATCAGTATATCTTAACATGCGTAAAGATAATTCGTCAGATCCTGTAGCATCACTTTTACTGGTATTTAGTTGTTTTCTGATATTATTATTGTCTACTGTGTGGAAGTTGAAGAGTTGGTTCGTTTGTGTAGAGTATTTGTCTAACAGGGACAGCTGTTGAGGAGTTCTGGTGGCATGTTTGATGTATAGAAAATAAGAGTTAATTATTGAAACATCTTTGAGTTTATCGGAAAGATTCGAGTTTTCATCATTTCTCAATATTTCTAAAGATCTGAGAGTATTCCACTTAGCCTTTGCATTTTTATTACCAAGTACAAAATTCAGATATGCTTTTTTTTTCACGTCTTATGGCTGCTGTAGTATAATTAAGAATGTCTTTATAACATACGAAGTCAGTTAATTGTTTAGTTCGCTTATATTTCCTCAAGGCTTGCTCTTTGATTTCGATCTTGTCTTTGATGGTAGGTGTTACCCAAGGTGCTGGGGGTCTAGTAGTTCTCGCAGTTCTAGTAGGAGCACGAATATTGAATAGAGAGATCAAAATTGATATTCAAAAAATTCAATGCGTCATCGACGTTCTCTTATATATGGCATCCCAGTTAACATGTGTTAGGTCTGTTTGAAAATTGAAAGATGATAAACTCTCCTAAAGCGGAACATTCCGGAAGTTGATAGATACCTCTCCATTCGGATTTCCGGGCAAGAAGTACTCAAAGGTACTCATCTCTGGAGATTAATTTTTGCAACATCCGCGAACTCAACAAAAACATCGATGACGTCCACCCTCATCTACAAACGGAAAAACCAGGACCAAGTTCATCTGCTGCCTTTACCTATCGCCTAATGATAATGAATATAACAACCTCTTTGAGTTTTCATCACTCAAACTGAACTTCATCCAGGAGAACCATCCAACAGGTGTAATCATTATCATGGGAGACTTCAATGTACAGGGTGATTCACCATAAATGTCCCCTCCTCTAGCTCAGTTATTTTTGAACCGCTACTTCAGAAAATACAAGGTGCTCGGAAGAAACGATCTACAGGGTACTATTCGATTTTTTCAAACGAAACACCCTATTTTTCATTATATCTCTAGATTCTCCCTGAAGAGCTGATTTGATCAATGCATCACACTAAAGGGGTCTAGCGGGAATGATTACAGAGATATAGGGTGTTCAAAATCGAGAGTTTTCAACTTTAGGATTTTTTTGTGACGAAACTTTTCATTATCGGTCAAAACGGCTCTCATGTCCGTATCTTATCACATGTCCAAATGAATGTATTGAATTACCAGTTACCCTGTATAACAATGTTGAAGCAGCAGGGGGGATGGAAGTCTTCCGCGGTCGCTGAGGGCTATATCGAGGATTCGCTAGCCAATAAGTCGAACACCATTGGTAGTCACTAGAGTCACTGGATGGTATTAGTTTGATAAGAGTTCGGACACAGCTGAACTTTGTCCTTTTCTATTTTCTATAATACAATGGTTTAAGTGAATAAAAGAATAAGACATATATTCTGCTCTTTGTCTTTTCAATTTCCCTAGTAGGGCCTGATTGTCAGATACGACTTTAGAGGTTATATTTTCTGTCAAATCAATCATAGCCGTAGATGGACAATGGATATAGGGTACAAACACCCACTTCAATTTATAGTGAAACACTTCTAGCAGAACAACTATTATATAAATGAAAAGAATGCATATAACAACATTCTAATATCATAAAATATACACATATGAAACAGTCCTTCAGTGATAAGTATAAAACATGAAGATATTGATATTAAATTGAAGGTAGGTATTCTCAATATACAGGAAGTAACGTACGTACGTTCAAGTGAAGTATTCCTGAGACAATTTTAAGAAATAAAGTTTATACAAGCTTGTGTTCGGAAATGCGAAAAAAGTAGTTTATTTTGACGAGACCTACCAAATACTTGGTTTTGTAAAGTTCTCAGGAACTTCACTTAGCGCCCAAGGAGCTAAGTAACATGGATCGATATAGAAAATATCTCCAAAACGATAAACTCCAGCGTGATTAAGGCCCTCATAATAATTCCCTTGATATATAAATAACTATTCACTTTACACTGTTAAATTCTGAATTTGGTCGGCACCAAAAACGCCATTCAATAATATATCACGTAGAGTTTACTTGCTTATCTCAGTTTCGTTTTCAAATTTTCAATTTCATTATGTAACTTTGCGATCCTTTCCTCTTTTTCCTCGATTATTTCGTTTTGTATTTTGTGTGATGATAATAACGGAATTTTGTTCTTGAAATCGTCTGCTTTGTAAATTGATGGAACAGCAGATTCTCTCAAACAGATTTTGAAACCTTCTGTTTGAAAATGGGCTGATATATAGTTTCATTCTAATTAGATGCTGTTATAAGAAGTGAATTTCAATGAGTACCTTACAAATTTCGCTCGTCTTCAAATTGATTTTCCACCCAGGCCGATTCATATCTTCCTTCCATAAGCGAATGGTTGATATTTGTTGGAAAATTGAATAAATGATATCCATTTTTTTCAAAATTGGCACAATTTATTACACAGCAAGTGATTTCCATAGCTGCTTTTTTCTCAAAAGTATAATTATGACATTTTATTTCAATTCTGACGTTTATAAAAGTCATTGTCAAATTCAAACAATTTTGAATTAAAAAGCGCGGGACGACTATGGTGCTCTTGTCACAATGCAAGGTGTGTAACTTGATAAATCAAAACATTCAAAAACCCTAACCGTTGTCATTTCTGTGTCCGAACTCTTATCAAACTAATACCATCCAGTGATGACTCTAGTAGTAACATATTCCCAGGCGTTTCCGGATTACCAATTAATGTGGATACTAATATTGTTGATTTTACGAAAAAGGAGGGAAGTGGAGAGTGTTCGATTGTATTGAATAATTGTTCACAAATAACCATAAATATTTTCAATAAATAAAAGTACCCTGTTGTAGTTTGTAGTCGTGAAGTCATCAAACCAATTTTGTGTAATATTTCTTATTCAGAACTCCATCATTCAACCTATGTTAGTGTCAATTTTGATTACCAATTTGGTTCAAATCATTACTTGTAACGTTGCACAACAACAGCTTTTGTGCCTGTCAAGTGTTATTGAATAGCTACTCTTATTGTAATTAGGAGAAAAAAAAATTGTTTGAAAATTATATAAAATTCTCCATGGTAGCAGATTTTCACCGGTGAAAGTATATTATTATTATTGGTTCTCCAATACATATATCTATTGATGGTCTAACCTATAGGTACTCGACACAAAATTCATTATATCTCTTATAGTCACAGCATAATAACTCGAATTATTCAATCGGATTTTCAAAGAAGATATAATTCTTGTATATACCAAGATCAATGTTCTTCAATTTCTTCCTCATCTACAAGTAGCCATCAATTTCTGTTGAACCATGTTTATAGTATTATCAGTCCTGTAATAAACCAATGTGTATCTCTTTGGCGAGTATATCGTCCTTCAATTCTTGAAAGCATGTGCAGTTCGGTGTGTTTTTTCAATCATAAATTATGTCAATTTTTACTTGTGTCCTTACATCGTTAATTCTGGTCATATCATAAAAGTTAACCTCTACCTCAATGTTAACAGTAATCAACAAGTGTTATACTAGATAAAAACTAATTGATAATTATTATGTTCAATCGAAAAGCTGAAAGGAATAGCTTGTCTTACCTATTCAACATTATAATCAAATTGATAAAATTGGTATCACGATTTTTTTACAATCAGTTATTTCGAAACAGTTGAATCTGGTTCATCAGAGGTTTGATACAGGTGAGGAATATTAACAGTAACAATATTTTTTCAACATGTATAAACACAATTCATTCAAATTAGTCTACAATCGACTGAGTTGGTTTTGAAGAAGGAATTATTCGATATGAGTTCGAGTTTTGAAATCTGGGTTCACCCAGAATTGTGTTGAGAAAAATCAACAAGTTTTTTGTAAAATTGAAAATATCAACTTCACAGATAACTGGAGAGCTGAAGTATACCTACCGTGGCAATTAATCCCAGAATGCATGTGTTCCATATAAACTGCTCAACATTGATAACGTCGTGGTCAAAAATATAGCCTGAATTCAAAGTAGAATAACTCACGAATTTCCTCACCAATTTGAAATCGGTTTCCACCGATGATTAGCCTGATCTCTTGACAGTTTGTTGTGGCAATATGAAACTTCTGTTATCCCAGATGACATTGCTACAGGGTGATAATTGAATGGGTGTTAAATTGCATCGTGGTCGTCACCTTACCGTTTGAATAGATAGTTTTATTTCTTTTCCCACCTGTATCCTCTTGATTAATGCTTTCTCTCGAAACATTTTCGGAATTTTCGAATTTTTTCTCGAATCTTTGATAACCGTTTTATAAATATTCATTCAAAATGATGCATTTTTGCGACGATGAATTGAATGAAATTGGAAATTGGAATTCTTTTTCGAAGAATCAACCTTGAATGTTTAGACGACGGATATGTGATCGTCAAGAATAATAATAAATTTCATACTTTTGGAACTATAATCGTAATTTCTTGAATTTTATCTTAATGAAAATGCATCATATTGATTAAAAATGCATACCTTCATTATATGACCTTCGATCCAAGAAATTACAAAACCAATTCGAGGTCAGACACCAGATATCCTCATGACGAAGTAACACCTCATTATTTCACTATAGTAACACAAAGAAAATTATGTTCCATCTACTCGAGACGACGTTATTCTCCATTCCATCATTCAGTATTTCTTGTATCACTTTGTATAGACTACTTCAGAATTTTCTGTGTTCGAACACGATCATAATAATATATCCGTCGACTAAACGTACAAGGATGATTCTTCGAAAAGGAACTTCCAATTTCATTCAATTAATCGTCCAAAAAATGCATCATTTTGAATGGATATTCATAACACGGTTATCAGAGCTCTGAATTCGAAAATTCCGAAAATGTTTCGAGAGAAAGCATCAATCAAGAGGATACAGGTGAGAAATAGAATAGAAGAAATTATCTGTTCAAACGGTAAGGTGACGACCACGATGCAATTTTACACCCATTCAATTATCACCCTGCAGCAATGTTATCTGATATAACAGGAGTTTCATATTGCCACAACAAACTTTCAAGAGATTAGGCTAATCATCGGTGAAAGCCGATTTCAAATTGGTAAAGAAATCCGTGAGTTATTCTACTTTGAATTCAGGCTATATTTTAGACCACGACGTTATCAATGTTGAGCAGTTTAGTTGCCTGAATGGGTTCTATTTTCATACCATCACCTTCTAATATACCCAGAAATGCTTCTAGTGCCCTCCGGATTATCAACTTCAGAAAATGAAGTTTAGATGTCGCGTAGGTATGGTTTCATATGGTGCACGTATTATCATTCTATAAGGAGCCAATTGTGTTGTTATCGATTGACCTTCAGAAAGTTATGACCTCTTGAAGTTATAGACATGTCAAAAAATTAATGTTGAGTTATAATAGTAGTTATTCTTGTATCTAGTGCGCAAAATGCTACTTTGTTTATCGGGAACTGATGTTTTGAACAAGGCGTAGCCGAGTTAAAATAATAGTCGAGATGACGAAAGTATTTCTCGTACCAGTTGCGAACAAAATATTTTCTACAAACGTCAAAATATAGTCCTAAAGTAGTAATACACTTAGCTCGATATAAAAAATAGTGTTGAACTGGCTCAAAAGGCCTCTCCTTATCCTCCCTATAGGTACCCACGATGTTCCACGAACATTATGCGAATTCCCCTGTGTGCGCTCCCAGATATGAAGAAAATAATGTTTTCTACTCACATAACTGAAATGGCATTCATCATACGGATAATATGTATCACGCCAAATGATCGATAAGTCACGGATTGACGATCAGTGATTCATTTAAAGAATTAACCTTCCAGTAGTCGCGCCTAAAAAATGGCATAGGATGTCGCTGCGGAGTCTGACACCGCAAAGGAGAATTTGTGTGGTTTGAACATGATGACTTGAATTTTTCCAAAGATTTCATCAGTATGCCTTTGGACATGAATATCTCTACGAAGTAAAATGTCAAAATTGCATATCATAACTTATTTCATCTATCCCCATATATTTTGATCTCAGTTGTTTGAGAGCACTCACCACATCATCATTTGTTACTATTGAAAAATTGAAGTTTACATTTTCTTGAAATTTATGATTCTTGTAACCACTACACTGTTTTACCACTAACCAAACCGATTTTTTAACGCCTCGACACGTGTTTCGCTAACTATATTAGCATCTTCAGGAAAAGATTAAAACTAAATATCCTATTCTAGTGTGCTGCTTATATACTAGGTATATGTTCACCCAACTGTGAAAAATACTAACCGTCAAGTTAATGTTTGTCATGGTTGAGTTCACATGTTAATCTAAATTTTTATTTTACTAAACTATATAGAGGGCTATATGGAATAGGTCCATTATCCTTATTCATTACTCTATTACTATTCTTAAATATCTCTAAGCTTTCATATGCGTCTAGTTTTCTAATGTTATTAACTTGCTTAACTAATTTGAGGTTAGTAATATGTGTGTTATGATTGTGATTGAACATATGTTTGGCTACACAAGATTTATCTAACCTGCCATATTTCAAATGGGCTATGTGTTCTTTGAACCTTGTTTTTATGGGTCGCCTGGTTTGGCCTATATATGTTTTATCACAATCATTACAACTTATTTCGTATATTCCCGACTTTTCGAGTGTGTCCACTTTATCTTTCGGATTGCCTAATAAATTGCCTAATTTTGACCCAGACTGATAAACGCTTTCAAAACCTAAGTCTTTGAAAACCTTATCAAGTCCCTTCGTATACTTGGGATTGTACGGGATCAAGATTCTTCTAGAGTTCTTTTTATCCGCTTGAAAAGTCGTAGAATTTCGAAGTGTTAACTTAAATTTATGTCTACGTATTAATTTATCTACTATTTTGATATCATACCCATTGACGCCAGCCACTTTATAAACAACATTTCTTTCAGCATCGAATCTTTCTTTGCTGAGAGGAAATGAAATCAATCTGTGTACTAGAAAATTTAAACTTGCCATTTTGTGCTGAGAACAGTGATTGGAGTCATTAGGTATGTATCTACCTATAGGTAGAAATGTTGTTTATAAAGTGGCTGGCGTCAATGGGTATGATATCAAAATAGTAGATAAATTAATACGTAGACATGAATTTAAGTTAACACTTCGAAATTCTACGACTTTTCAAGCGGATAAAAAGAACTCTAGAAGAATCCCGATCCCGTACAATCCCAAGTATACGAAGGGACTTGATAAGGTTTTCAAAGACTTAGGTTTTGAAAGCGTTTATCAGTCTGGGTCAAAATTAGGCAATTTATTAGGCAATCCGAAAGATAAAGTGGACACACTCGAAAAGTCGGGAATATACGAAATAAGTTGTAATGATTGTGATAAAACATATATAGGCCAAACCAGGCGACCCATAAAAACAAGGTTCAAAGAACACATAGCCCATTTGAAATATGGCAGGTTAGATAAATCTTGTGTAGCCGAACATATGTTCAATCACAATCATAACACACATATTAATAACCTCAAATTAGTTAAGCAAGTTAATAACATTAGAAAACTAGACGCATATGAAAGCTTATTATTTTTCACAGTTGGGTGAACATATACCTAGTATATAAGCAGCACACTAGAATAGGATATTTAGTTTTAATCTTCTCCTGAAGATGCTAACATAGTTAGCGAAACACGTGTCGAGGCGTTAAAAAATCGGTTTGGTTAGTGGTAAAACAGTGTAGTGTATTATCTTGCCAAAGGTTCCAGTCTTCGATATATTCTTGTAACCATTTATAAAATTCTCTGTGACAGGAGTTATGAGATGTTCAAGATCTGAGAATGTGTCATTTATTTTTTGTAAATTTCTCCATTCGATCGGTATGTAAGTCACCTTATTGTCAATAATACCCCAGTTATTGAACTTTGCCCATAGTTTCTTAGAGTCCTTGCCAATTCTTTCTATTGTTTGTTTTCTATTGTTTACTTTTGTGCAAATTTTCACTTAGTTCCTGTTCTGTAATTGGAAAACTTTTTTCTGTAGAATAGTGTAAATAAATAAAAAAATAAATAAATTTCATGATTCATGTATGCTGTTTTTTCTTGCTTGATAGCAATAGATAGATAATTCTTCAGATCTAAATGGTAATCTCTATGTATCTGTATAGATTAGTCTTTTTAAACCTAGTATATGCCTTTTTCTTAAGTTTGATGATTTCTTTTATTGTGTCCGTGATATATGGTTGGTGTAGGTGCTTCATCTTCATAGTCTTCATGGATGCATGTATATCATTGCTATAAGCATATCATTTAGGCACTTAACTCTCTCACTAATATCCTCTATTTCAGATAAGCTATTCCATTCAATCTGATGCATATCATGATTGAATGCATCCAAATTGAATGTTCTGAAATCCCTATATGTTGAATATTTTTGTATTTCCCCTATTTTCTCTAATTGTATATCACAATATGTAAGTCTGTGATCAGTGTTCCTGATTCAATTACATTAAGTTCAGTCTCCACACGTATCAAATCTATCAAACCACTGCTGGTTCTGATAACTCTTGTTGGCTCTGTTATTACTAACATTTAAATCACCTACCAAAATTGTGAAATCAAACTGAACAGCCAAAACTGATAGGATATGTTCAATACATGCTGGAATAACACTTTTGATGGGCAGAACTTTCAGTCGATCATGCTGTATATACCTATACTGAAGGGATTTCATATCGCGAGAATCTTTCGTCTGAGAAAAAAATGTATGAGATGCCCTCCGATAATACTGTCAAGTTACTGTTCTGCATCGTTTCAAGTTGTTGATAGGAATAACCATCACATACCCAAGAATCTTTATGTGACTTGATTTCTATTTCAGAATGACCATAGAATATTTTCATCCAATCACACATGAAACCAGAAAATTCATATGGAGTAAATATGAGAAGACAGTGGAGGGTGCAGAACAAGATATAGCAAGTCTCAGAGAATGGATGCTCTCTCAACCTCACTTACCTGATGATTTGTGTAAGTAAATTTCGTCATATTTCATTCTTGCTATTATAATCGAAACCAAAAAAAAAACAAGTGTGCGTATAACCTTCGGTAGGACCACACGTCAGAAATGATAACTTCTGTGGCCGGTCAGTATTTCCAATATCTTCTAGACAATTCGGAGCAAATCCAATAAGAGTTCCATGTATTATTTCCACCTATTCGCGAAAAAAATGAGCTAGAACTCAATAACAATCAACAAAAGACTATAATGACCGACAACAATCCTCCATATACGTATTAATAAACAATACGGATCATAACGGGTGCCAGGATGAAGCCAAAAATATGAAACAAATGAATATCCATAAGGATTTGGTGGCATGATACGCATGCGCCATGCGCTATTATAGTAGTCATCAAAGACATGCGTTTCGGTGGACAATGACGTTTACTAGCCTTTCAATCAAAGCAGTATGTGTCTGATCGTTTCAAAACTTTTCCTTATGGATAGTCATTTGTCTTCAAAAATCGGCTTCATGTTTCGCTATGGAAACAGATAGAGATTATCCGTATTGATTATTAATACGTATATATGCAATCCTCTGCTGTGCTCGGGAACGAAAAACGAGTAGCCACAGACAGGACCCGACCATGTGACGGTAACGTAATACGAAGCATTCAGTAAACAGTCAAAATAAAAATTGAAAACTGCAGTGAATAGTCAATTATTTATTGTTCGATAATCTGAAGCTCGCTGCACAATTCCTAAAACAGCTTGTGTGAGATTATTTTTTTTTATTCTGCTTCTGGTTCAAAGAAAACAGTAGGTTTCATGCCCAAAACAGGAGAACAGTAGAATGAAAATGTAAATCAACTATTGAACAAGAAGGTCTGACATTGCTGCTGAGGGTGCAGGTGCAGCCGACATAGACATATTATACAGGTGGTCCCGAAATCATCCTTCCAAACTTCAACAGCGGCTTCTACATCAAAAAATAGGAAGAACCTAGCAAACACTGGGCTATAAAGTACTATGGAAGTGATTTTGCAACTCAAATCCGCGTGCGATGTACGAAAAACATCTCCTCCACGCATTTCATCATTAATTGTGTTGTTTAAATTGAGATTTGGAAAATGAGTTCAAATGAAACATATGTCTGTATAGTCACTGTGGAAGTTTTTGATACAGTTAATGTCTCATTAATAATCACATTGGGCACATTCATGCGAGGATTCTCTTGGAATTCTCGGAATGTCTCTTCTCTGGATGGAACCTGAGGGCATCAGAGTATGTTTGGATGCTGAACCCCATATGTGAGAACAGTACTCTAGAACAGGTCGTAGATGTGCTTCGTAGATCGTGTGAAGCTGTTGAAGTAATATTTCCGAAACACCTCGTGATAATATGATGCAATTTGATACAAGAACTAAACTTTTCATGCTCAATGCGGTGAAGATGAGAAGATTTCAAACTTTCATTGAGGGTGGTACTACATTAAATATGGAATATTGTTCTAACTTTTTTGTATGCATATTTTCCGTCAATCCAATTTTGGATTATGAAAATCCACACCGTTTCACAAAAAAGAGGTGATCGTGATCCATCTCATGCATATCGTTGCCAATTTTCAAATCATAATGACTCTTAAAAAATCAGCAACCTCTTTTATACCAAACAATATCATAAATGCGAGGAAAATTGGAAAATTATGGTAGAATACTACTTCAATTTTTTTGTTTTTTACCTCTCCACTACAACTCATTACAATGTTATGTATTATAATGAAACATCTGATCGTTACGGAATAAGAGTACCTCTTTTCAGTAAAGGGGTGTGGATTTTCATAATCCGAGAATAAATCGTCTGAAATAATGCATACGAAAAATTGTGAGCAATATTTCATGTAGTCCCACCCTGTATTGAAAACTCCTGAATGATATTTTGAAATGAATTTATTCTCACCGCAATGGGCATAGTCAGTTCAATTCTTCTACCAAATTGCCTCTCTTTATCACATGGAGTTCCGAAAATACTCAAGAAATATCGTCAGGAGCAACCTGTCAGGGGGCCGTAGCTTCTTTAGAATATATTTATCGTCTCATGTCACAGAGTGTGTAAATTTGAATAATGAATCCATGGTTTGTGACAAGATCAAGGGATCGTCCAGTGAAACTTCTGATAAGGGCCGGTAAAAGGTATTCAACTTCTGCATATTGCTTTTTCTGTTTGGTGAAAAATGAGTTCCTTCGATACATAGAGAGATGAAATGCTGCCATGAACGTTAACGTAAACGAAGAAATTGATAGCTATACGCATGCGCTTCTCGATTCCCCACGTTTTCGCTGGTAAAGGGCTTACCTACGGGTGTAAGGTATCATGCGTTCTTCCACGTATACCTTAAATTCTGACGAACGTTAACAGAAATATGCCATTGAGTCATTAAAGTTGGAGCCTGAATATCCAAAGAATTCTTTTTCAAGGATTCCGCTCATTTGAATACGAATTCAATGTTCTTATCAAAACAAATAATCAGAAGGAACCAATACAAAAAGAAAACAACACATAACGATGACACTGAATTTAAGGATGATCCGTAATTGTATATTTCGTACGTTACCGTCTACGTGGGGGTCGATATCTACGTACAGTGTGTACTTCAACTTCCTAATAACCCTGCACATGTCGTTAACCTTGTTGTTGTTTTGAGACAAAGTTTCAAACTGAAATATGACGAATAAAATTCATCGTATTGAATCATTCACATTTATCATCACATCTAACTCCATAATGACGATAAAATAATATTAATAATGTTTTATGTTGGTAGCAGAAAGACAAATAATGAGTTTGTTGCTGTTGGGGAGAGGAAGCATAGAGAAGACGAAGATGAAAATTGATATGTATTACACAATGCGATCTCTGTATCCAGATATATTTGAGAATTCACACCCCCAATCGCAGAGAATGAAAGAAGCTTCAAAATTCATGTGAGTACATTTATATTAACAACTATAGTTGAATAAGATCGTCCTATATCTCATAAACGGATACAGTAAAATATGCGAGATTTGATTAGGCCATCTTGAGTTTCACGAAAAAGTAGGATGAGAACGTGAAAACCGCCAGAATTCCACCGCGTTTTACTCCTTGAAGAGTGTTGAAGTGCATCTGAAGAATCAAAGATAAAGTTTCATTCGAATTGTTTTATTTGTTATTCTTTCCATTCTTGTACTCTTTTATATTACAAAGATTCAAACATCACTTTCACTGAATTTTCAGTTAATTTCCACGAGTAATTTTACCTTATACAAGGTGTTTTTGAAATAAGTGCACATATTCAGCCCAATAATATGATACAGTCTAAGGCATATTCCCATATGATATCAGATTTTCTCTAATTCTTTCAATTAATGAAAAATTCCATCCCGAAAATTGAACAAAATACGAGAAAAAGATCAAGTACGCCACTTTGAAACGATTTGAATGATTGAACTCCGCGTGATTGTGCCTACTCTGCATGAAAATTTGAACAGAGGAGACGTCAGATTCGGCACAGTGTAGAACTATGGGTGGAAAACGATAAGTCTAACCTCAAATTTCATTTCAATCTCTAATGTTTTCCATTAGTGTCATTCGATAGTACACGTCGAGCTTTCCCAGTGTTTGAAATATTTGCACTTATTTCAATGTCACCCTGTATAGACCATAATGATGAACTCATCTATCTATACCTGAACCTCAAAACCAACCTGCAGAGAAAATACACTTTTCGCCTTCCCTGTAAAATCTGGGAAATGTTACATATGTTCTATAGCATCAGAGTCTTCATTTGCTAACTATACAGGGTGTTTCAGTTTTCGTAGTAGGACTTTAACAGCTCGAAGAAGACATTTTTTCAAGATGAAAATCTCATACGAACATATATCCGTGGGAGCTTCGTTTCAGATTTACAGGGTGTCAAAGTTTCAGATTTTTCTTATCTTTTGATTTTTCTAGTTCTAATTATGATGGTGTTCAAAAAAATCAATTTAATTTTGTAACTGAATTTCATTTGGTCGGGAAGCTTTCGGTCATTCTATTTTCCAATAAAATGTTTAAGAAATGTCAAATAAGTGTGTTTGAGAAATAACGGTTTTATTACAAGTAATTTATTTTTGGCATTTATCTCGAGATCCTTACAGTTTTCGAAAAATTTACATTGGGGCAAAAAGTTTCCAAAGGACAATCTGAATCTATGTCCCATTGAAATGAGAGACGGCACGCAAAAAAGTTTTACAGGGTTAAATTGGGTACGACCCCTGGAAGTCTATCACCCTGTAGGTATTCAAAAATGCCCAATAACCTGAAATATTGAATTTTTGAAGTGTATTAGGTGTAAGTGTATTAGGTGTACCAAATTTCAATCAATTATTTCGATAATTGTATGAGAAAATTGAAAAAACATAAAAAAAATCTAAAACTTTGACACCCTGTGAATCGGAAACGAAGCTCCCACGCATATATGTTTATATGAGATTTTCATCTTGAAAAAATGTCTTCTTCAAGCTGTTAAAGTCCTGCTACAAAAAACTGAAACACCCTGTAGATTGAACAGAAATTATAGTTTTCATGACAATTCCTCCGAAGTTTGGCGAATAGAGAATGAGGAAACGGAATCAACAGAAATCGACGAATGCAAGTAATCCGTCACACCAAATTTTGATGAAGATAATTGGGTACTTATTATACATTCCGAAATGGAGGATTTGCTAGCCTGCTCATAGTTGATAATTCAATCCTCTAGGGTTGCAAGTTAGGCAACTGAATATCAGGTTATTTCATTGAAAGGCTATTTCTTTGAAGAAACTACCTACTGTGTAAGTGAGTCACATCAACTAACGGCCGAGTCATATCAAAATCATTTTTGATTATTATAGTTGTATCAACGTTACAAACCCGATATGTAGCAATAAACTATCGTTATCCGAGGCGGAGCCGAGGATTAAAACAACCAAATCCGTTAATTCCGTATCGGCCGTGTGTCGTTCAAAACTTTTTGTAGTCCTGCTGAAAGATTACATTTTGATTCCAAGGGAAGAACAAACCACGTAACTCGTAATTCTTAACATCGTGATGTTATGGAATAGTTTTTTCCAATTATCATCTGAATATACCATTAAATCTAGATAACAGTATAGAACTAAGAAAAAATGTATTGATGTGATTCTGATGGCATATCAATAAGATCCATATAAAGTATCAAGAGGAAATTTCAACCGGAAGAGTACCTGGAAGGATATACTCTATTCTTCTGGAAATTATTACTATTGTGAAGTTTCCTAATTGTCATCAAATTAAGTTTGTGATATTTGAATAATACACTCATTCACTCAATATTCTAGATTTTTTGTGACTTTCTCTCCTCGTGTCTATAGAATAATAGTTATTTATGTATTGAGGGAATTATGAGGGCCTTAATTACCGATGGCAAAGTTTGCGTCCCGAGGGCCTCTGGCCCGAGGGACAGCAATTGCCAGAGGTTATTAAGGCTCTATAATTCCCGTGGTACATAGATCATTTTATTTCTGACCGATTTTCATAGCATATTTAGAACGCAATAAATGTTTAAATTCATAACCTTTCTGGTATATTTGAATTAGGTAGCGTTGATTGTAGCATTGTTGGTTGTTGCTAGGTTGTCGGTATGTTACATGTTTATTGTTTTTTAAGCGGCGGAAGTAATTTTCAGGAAACATTTGAAAATTGTACATTTATTATTTGTAATGACGTGAATAAGTAAAATATGTCTTAGTTTTCATCACATATAAACGTTTATAAGCATTTCTTGTATCATCTTCACCTGTAAAAGGTGAGAGGGAGTTTTTGAACCTTAATATCCCAAGGGAGTTATGACCCTCATTATAGATATCGTAACTATGACGATATAAGCTTATAATGTCACTGTCAGAAATAAAATTATGAATATCATTTCAATGAACGTGTAGTAAGGACAAATCAGATGCTTTGCTCCAAAATGTCACTGCGTTCAAATAATTTTTCTATCAGAGAGCCTGAAAGATAAATTCACTAGCATGTCAGTGAAATTTGTATTGAAGAAGTTTAGAGACGAGGGATAAAGGTATATAGAAAAATATCAGATTCTCACTCATCTTTGGACGTTTCGAAAACGAATCTGCTCCCGTTTTCAACATAAAGGAAGGATTTTCATATGGCAAATTCGTATTTGTCTTGACACTTTCCAGTTCTCAGTGACAATTGGTGACGTTGGCAATCAATTGATTTACAGGATGTTTTCATTAATTAATTTTGAATTTTTCATATACCATGTTGAATGAAAATGGTAAATTCAAGATCAATTAATGAAAACATCCTGTAACTCTTTTGATTGCCAACGTCACCAATTGTCACTGAGAACTGAGAAGTGTCAAGACAAAGACGAATTCTCTATACAAAAGTCCATTTTTTATGTAGAAAACGGGAGCAGATTCGTTCCCGGAACGTCCAATGATGAGTGAAAATTTTATATTTTTCTATATACCTTCATTTCTCGTCTCCAAACTTCTTCAATACAAATTATTGTCACTGATAAGCTAGTGAATTTTTCTTTTAGGCTCTCTGATAGGAAAATTATTTAAACGCAAAGACATTTCGAGGCAAATCATCTGATTTGTCCTCACTACACTTTTATTGAAATAATATTCATATTTTTATTCCATAGAGACGTGGAGAGAAAATCACAAAAAATCTAGAATAATGAGTGCATAAGTGTACTATTCAAATATCACGAACTTAATTTGATGACAATTAGGAAACTTCACAATAGTAATAATTTCCAGAAGAATAGAGTATATCCTTCCAGATGCCCTTCCGGTTGAAATTTCCTCTTGATACTTTATATGGATCTTATTGATATGCCATCAGAATCACATCAATACATTTTTTTTCATAGTTCTATACTGTTATCTAGATTTAACGGTATTCAGATGATTATGGGAAAAGCGGCGGGTAAACTATTCCATAACATCACGATGTTGGGAATCTGGAATAATGAATGTACCACGATTAACCTACAGACAGTATTTAACACCTACACACTATTCTCAAGAGGACCATATTTGTTGTGATAAATGCAGGTACATTTGTCCGCTGCCAAAACTGTTCGACAAAATCAACAGAGTGTTGGTATTGAAGCTGAAAGACATAGATCCCGCTGGGCTTGATCCATCTGCGGTTTTCGCTCGCTTGATCAACGTTGTCGAGATCAGGCTGATGGAGGACTTCTGCTTCGGACATCTAGTCATCATGGACATGCAGAACTGCAAACTAGGACATTTGGGCAGAATCACGCCGACGTTCGTGCGAAACGTGTACACAATTGGTGAGGTAAGTGACTTGGTATGGTGCTCGTGAATTCTCCTCTGATAATAGGACAGAATGAAATCCTCACAGTCTACTCCATCAAAACTTCACTTTATTTTGATCAAATTACGAGATAACGGAACATGTTTCGAAGCTTCGAAGTTCATCATCAGCTTTCAGTTATCTGAGAGCACTAAAGTAAAAAAAAATAAAGAGAAATGTCAGACACGAACTTCAACAACGACAGTTTCAAAATACTCACCTGTTCTGGAGGAATAAATTATGTTCACATATGACAACAAAATTCAAGAAATTTTCACAAATATATAGTTGAAAAAATAAATCAAATAGAGGGACCGCAATTACTGCGAAACATCTATGTTAGGGATTTTGACACCAACCCAGTGAACCAAATCGCATTTCGGATACATAGAAATATTTATTTATTTATTTATTTATTTATTTACTTACTTAGTTCACAGAATAAATCCAATTAAGAACTAAGAATACAGTAATATGAGTTAACAAGAATAATGATTTACAACTATTGTCTAATACAAAAAAAGAAAGATCTAATCTGCTGGATTGTTGTATGAAAAATGTCAAAAGCTGTGCAACGATCATTATAATTTCTACAGATCCTTTGTACTGGAGAGTTTCTACATATGTTTGTGCGTGGAGTTGGCAAGTAAAAGGTTCGATTCACTCGGGACGCCATTCTTGGAACGTGAAACTGAATTCTTTGCATCAAATAATGGAAGTCACATGAGTTGTTGATTGTTTTGAAAAGTATTACATTTGAATGGTACTCTCTTCGAGTTTGTAGACTGCTAAATGAATGTCTCTCAAGTAAATTTGTATGTGGTATGCCAATTTCTGGATATTCTCCATCTATTCTGAAAGAAAGTAGTTTCAAAAAGCGCCGCTGAATCGATTCAAGATTGTCGATGTGAGTTTTATTATGAGGACTCCAAATTACCGAAGCATATTCCAGCTTCGATCGGACAAATGCATAATACAGACTTTTAAGAGTTACAGTATCCTTGAAATCTCTGGAGTATCGAACTATACAACCATAGGATTTGCTGGCGGTTGACGATATTTGTTCGATGTGAGTTACAAATGAGAGTTTTGGATCAAATATCACCCCCAGATCTTTGAAGGTCTCTGCTCTCTGTAAGTCAGTATTATCAATGGTATAGTTGAACATGATACAAGATTTCAAAGTGAAGGACATAACACAGCACTTTCCGGGATTAAGAAATAACTTATTGGAAATACACCATTCGTTGATTCTATCTAAGTTATCTTGTAATAATTGACAATCATTTGTTGTTGAAATTCTGTGGAATATTTTCATATCGTCAGCATATAGCAAACCATTAACTTCGATGCCGTCGAGTATGTCGTTGATAAATATATTGAATAACAGAGGACCAAGGTTCGACCCTTGCGGTACTCCAGACGTAGCGAGATATTCGACTGACCTGTGACCACGGCACTCGACATATTGCCTTCTTGATGATAGATACGACAGAAATAATTCTACCAAATGAGCAGAGAAACCAAGTTTAGACAGTTTATTCAATAGAATACCGTGATCAAGTCTGTCGAAAGCTTTAGAGAAATCTGTATAAATTACGTCTGTTTGAAATTGATTATCCAGGTCCTCTGCTATATGCGTAGTGACATGTAATAAGTTGGATGTTGTAGAACGACCTTTCATAAAGCCGTGTTGGTGAATAGACAGACTTTTTTCAACTTGAAAGTAAATATTTTTTTGTAAGAGGATTTCAAATACCTTGCAGAAATTACAGATAATAGTGATAGGTCTGAAATTAGTTACATCTGTCCGGTCACCTTTCTTGTATATTGGGCAGACTTTAGATATCTTCCAAGAAGATGGAACAGTTTTGGTCTTCAGGCAAATATTAATAAGAGTTGCTAAAGGAGAGGCGAGTACAGTGGCACAGTCTTTATCTAAAAACGCTGGAATGTGATCAGGACCGGTAGTCATTTTGGGTTTAATTTGTTTGAGTGCACTGAAAACCTCACTTTCATCAAATCCTTGTATATGTATTGAATTATCCAGCATGGAGTTATTATTATTATCGATTTCTAGTGTATTAGACATTGGCGCAAAAGAGTTGCTGAAGAAATCAGCAAATGCATTAACAATATCGCCTGGTGTATCAAGATCATAACCGTTATATACCATATTATCACTGACGTTAGTTGTTCCTCTCTTGCTATTGATGAATGCCCAGAACTTATTAGGATTATCACCAATTTCATTTTCAATTGACTGGACATATGTTTTATAAGATGCACTTAAGTCACGCTTAACTTTGGCTCTAAGATGTTTAAATTCAATATGTGCTACAATGTCATTGTTATGTTTATATTTATCGAAACACTTAGATTTCCTTTTAATGTCTCTTATTATTTCTCTGTTGAACCAAGGAGGATATTTTCTTTTGCGTACATTAGTGAATTTTGGTACACACTTATCAAATACGCTGTATAATTTTCCGTAGAAATATGTACATGCTTGGTCGGCATCCTGAAACGCATTTAGAAAAGTCCAGTCAATGGAAGACATCATTTGATACAGTTGTTCAAAGTTGGCCTTACGAAAGTTGTAACAGTTTTTGTAGTTATTAACTAGAGGACATGAATATTTTATATTGAAGTCTAATTTTACTGATATTAACAAAGCTGGATGATGAAGGTCCTCTCTGATTAAGGTGTCAGAGGATCTTTCGACAGAACAGTTGCTATTGAATAAAACAAGATCAAGGATATGATTATTAGTGTTCAAAATAAGGTTATGTTGTTGCATGTGGAACATGATAGAAAAATTATTCAAAATTGTAATTTGACGATTGCCCTGATTCGTTCTTAAATACGTAGAATACTGTGAAATATTGAAATCGCCTAAGATGAGGACATTACTAGTGCTGAGACAATCTAATGATTCAAGAGCATGAAATAGTTCTTCAAAATGTTCGAGAGATACTTTTGGAGATACATAGACATTGATTACAAAAAGGGACCCTGTGTCACATGTCACTTGAACTGCAACTATATCAATACTAGCTGATAGATTTCGGAATGGTCTTGAATTCAGATCAACGGTAGATGATGTAAAAATGTTGTTAACTCCAATGAGAACGCCACCACCTCTGGTGCAGTTAGTAGCGAACATGTCACGATCAGAACGATAAACGAAGAATGTGTCTGGAAATATTTCATTGTTTGATATTGATACATCTAGCCATGTTTCTGTCAGGGCGATCAGAGAGAAATGTGATTGGTAAATGGAACTCAAGATGTCAGTTGTTTTTGTCCTCAGACCTCTGACATTCTGATAATATATAGAGAAATTTTGCATTATTTACTTGAGAGACACCAATTGAGACACCAGTCTTTAACTGCTATTGAGACCCGAGCAAATTTCTCCTCAAACTATCACAGGCTGTTTTATACGCAGCGCATTTATCTTTCTCCCAGACAATGTGATTTGTAGCAATATTAGAATTATTTAACTTCAGACAATTTGAACAGCTGTGATCTTTAGATTTACAGTCTTTCAGGTCGTGATTACCACCACACAGAGGACATGACAGGGCATTTTGGCACGTACTGGAGGAATGATTATATTGATTGCATTTGAAACAACGATGTACTTCGATTGCATCATAAACAATGCAACTATCATAACCGACAAATAAATTTCCAGCCTTAATAACCCTCTCATATGAACCTCTGTCTAACTGAATCACTGCTTGGAATACATTATTATTCTTTTTCAGTGGGTTGATTTTCAAAATATTGCGGGACGATTCTTCTGAAAATATTTCTGGATTACATGTCTTCAGAAAAGCAGCAATCTGTTGTGCTGAATAGTTCTCCGACATGCCTACCAGTCGTACTTTTGGTTGTATGCCAGTCACTTCCTTAACGGTATACGAATCAGACATCTTTTGCTGTACTACTGACTTGATCAATTCGTTCTGGTCCTTACTTTTGCAACCTATGAGTAATCCGCCATTCTTGACATTTTTGATCTTTGTTAGTTGAAGATTTGCTTTGGAAGGATCAATGTTTTGAAGAATTTCCGCTTTCGTTTGATCAGATCAGATCTCCCAGATATTTCGCTTTTGCATTTCATGAAATTTTTCCACAACTGTGTCAATTGGGACATTTCTCCATTGCACTGATCACATGAATAAAGTGAACCATAATTAACATTGTGTGTGATGTAGTCAATTGATATCATTATGATGAGAGAAGAGCAAAGTGAAGAAAATAAACTGCAGAATCATTCATGAACCGAGTATATGTTCCATTATACAATAACCACAGATAACGAACTCGGTAGATGGCCGTTGAACACTTACAAACAAGCTGCACAAAAAAATATACATTTTTCTCTAGTATATTATACTGAATTAACAAGAAGATAATTGGTCTGAGACGCATGTTAAAATGAATTTCATTCATTATAAACCACTCACTTTCTCCATATTTGTGGTACCTAGTCATCATAGAAATGAAGAGTTATTATTCACAACACCTCAAGTGATGCTATATTTTTTTATTTTCAGGACAGATATTTGTTGAGAGTATGTAATCCAAGTAACACGGAACTCTCCGCGACACCTCTCAGTACTTATATTCAGGATCATAATGCAAAATCCTCCTGTGTGGTGCCAAAGATCACTATATAGGCTGTCACCATGGGAAATACTCTCTGGAGTTGTTCGAAAGAAAGCGCGGAGATCTCGCCTTGGATCTGAAATGCTCCTCTTTGCGAATTCCTAAAGTTATCTCTGAAAGGAAATAAATAATCAATTTTTTTGCGAGCACCAACGGATATCTCAGACGTAACAAAAACGAGCATATCCCGTTGCGAGCTCCTGAAGTTGATGAAAAAATACCATACATACATATACACACATACACACATACATACAGAGTCATGTCATACATTTGACAGCCCTGTATGAAAAAAACGATGGCACGCACATATTTGGTATTTTGTCTGTTCATAGCAACGAAAACATGGACATCTCGTGACTTTTTTCATGTACGTACGTTCCGAAAGTGATGATCTTTCCGGAGAATGAGGTATGTATGTGTCCAATCCAAGCGTGATCGCGGATAGTATCGCAGCACACTGTGAACTGTCATCACAGTTGTTGTGGAGAGAGAAGTAATCACTGAATTATTTCTGAATGGGTTAAAAATCTGTGAATTATTAAAGATGTTCAAGCTGAATGTGAAAAACATTTTAATCAAAGTTAGCATGTGTACCAGAAATTACGTCTTCTTAGGACAACCTGCACTGAGGAAAAAGCACTCATTAAATTTTCTTGATATGTCTGAGTTAATGACTGTAATTCAATTTCTAATCATATTCACTCATGTTACGTATGAAAATAGCAACAAGGACTAATTACCATAACTAGAGACGTTTTATTGGGAGTACTTCAATTAACTTCATTGGACTTTTTGTAATGACAATTAATGTCTCAACCTATAATAATTAACGCAGATGAGTGAATTTCAATCATATTACCATTACTTGATATCGAATTACCATCATAGGAAAATTTGATGACGATCGTTGACGAATGTCCTCGAGTACATACGAACAAGAATATTTCCGACACATTCACACCCCCTCGTCAGTTATCAGACTAAGGTCGGTCTAGTCGGTCGTTGAACTCGTGCTTCGTGCATTTCCTTTGTTAAATACGGTTGATAGTTATGATTCTGAGTTGTGATCGAGTGAGGTTTTGAAAAACTGATGGTTAGGAGTGTACAAAAACTGGGATTGACCGAGATATTTGGGAGTGATATTTTGATTTGAAATGTTGGAGTTATTCAATTTTCAACCACTTATCTTAACGTAAGGCATATTCAATTTTTTTTGTTCATTATTGAACTTGTTTTTGCTAAAGTTCAATTTCCTCATTTCCTAAAAGAATATTTGATTATCAACTTGAATCAACTACAGTAATTATAATCATTCCAATACAAACGTTTTATGCCAAAAGATCTTTTTTCCGAGTTCTTTTCTATTCATTTTATGTAATAATTTGATGAAGAATTATTCGATCATCGATCTCACCTATACCTAGCCTAAAGGCAAAGATGAATTGGTGCAACAAAAATATAAATGCTGTCATGAAGCTGGAGAAGAACTGCCCTGAACTTAACTCTGTAGATGGTAGGAGATGGGAAAATTGAACTATAGAAAAAACAAGTTCAATAATGAACACTTGTCTCGAATTTTATTCTCCCGTGTAGAATAATCAACTCTGCATGACATTTTTTGATGAGAACTCAAGTACTCACCTACTAATAATCTTATTTATTTACAGAAAGCCCTGACGACTAGAGTAATCGCATTGCACATCATCAATGCACCAGCTTTTGTGGATCAAACTGTTCTAATCATCAAATCGATTGTCAAACCAAAGCTAGCTCAAAAGGTATTCAACTACTTACCATGTAGGTACTGTAGGAATGAGTGATTCACATGGCAACGACTATACCCTTCAGAAACAAAATACACTGAAAACAGATGAAATATATATTGAATAGATATTCACGATGAAAATATCGTGGAGACGATAACGATAGCAGATGGATAACTTGTCAAACGAGGTCGGAGGCAGAGTTTGACATCCTTCTGATTATCGTATTATGAATTCACGATGAATACAAATTCAGTACAATATTTCAGCTACTACCACGAACTCTTATCCTTTAATCAATTGATATACCTTGTCAAAATTCCCTGAATTCACGGTTCATCCTCAGGAATATGTAACAAGAAAATGTAATGCTGCGAATATTTTATGAGGTATCGGAATTGCTACTTGTGTCCTTTGGCTGTCCCTCATGGAGGCTGAAATTTCATTTATGACATTGAAAACTGATTCTCTTCTCACGCATTTTCTTCTGGTAATATCAAGAGATCACTTGTGCACTGAGGATATCTTGGACTGATTTCCAATTTGCACCTTATAAATGATTAATTGTAATCATATGATGATGATATGAATATCATTTCCCCTCGGTGTAATATAACCTCATCTGTTTATGGATTGCCTCAAATATCAAAATTAGCTCTGGATTATTTCGCCATTCTTTCTGATGTTGAGTTTCATCTGACTGTTTTATCAATTCTAGCACCAACACGATTTTTACTCCATATCAACGATTTTTTGAAAGCAACTTCATGTCCAGCACACGCAGCTTCGCGGATGATAGTACCCTCCATACCGCCTTCTCTTCAAGGGCTCCAATTTCAGCCAGGCAAACGAGGGAGAAATGTTGAAACATGAATATGCACTAGGCAACAATTCTTGAATGGGTATCCAATAACTTGGTAGATTTCAATGCAAACAAAACACGAGCATGCCTTTCCTCTAGAAAATCCGATCTCACTGTGCCCAACATAAGCTTGTCAGGAGTAACCATACCTTTAGAGACATCCATTTCGATGCTTCGGATTACTATCAGCAATAACCTCTATTTGGAAAATCACGTGAGATCATTTTCTAAAAGTGCATGAAAAACTTGGTTTTCTGTTTCGGGCCAGGAGCTATTTCACTTCCAGTCAGCTGCGTATATTCTATATAATGCTCAGATTTGACCTTTCCTGGAATACTGTTTCTATATTTGAGGTGCAGCACCCAAACATACCCTGGAACTGTTGAATTCTGTCCAAATAAGGGCAATTCGTCTCGTTGGTGATGCTTCGCTCACAAACTCACCCACTTCTCTGGAACACCGTAGAAAAGTTGTCGATCTGGCTCTATTTCATAGATATTTTCATGGACGATGCTCTTCTGAAATATCAACAATTGTTCTCTCCTTGGCAGTCCCCGCGAGATTAACCTGTCGGGTTGAGGCTTCGCACCCCTTCGTGGTCACTTTGGAGACCTGCAGAACATCTCTTTCCAAAGTCAGTTAGCCGTGCGGACAGAGTGTCTATATTCCAATCCGCATTCGCTTGCCGGTCGTGGGTTCGATTCCCATCGACTGCAAGAATTTTTCTGATGGCCCAGTAAAGTGTTTGGGATCACACGTTAAAAGGTAAGGTCCCCGTCATTCCTTGCTCGCACAAGACTCTCGAATACTTCTAAGGGTTGCTCGTAAGGGTGCAACCGAATGACGGATAGAACAATTTTAGAACAACAATTTTTAGACTCGTTCATTCAACGAACAGCGAGGCTCTGGAACATATCGCCAAGGAAGGTGAATATTACAAAATATCACTTTTCGTGGGAACCAGAACTCAGAAAAAAAATAGAAAGGCTCCTCACAAATTCATTTTGAACTGAGCAAGTTCATTTGACCACGATAGTATCATATCCAAACAGATCGTGTCAACATGTCAAATTGCTCCATTTATTTTATAAAGCTGTTACTGTTGGGAATCGAACACGGGACCTTTGTATTATAAGGACACGTATATACGCGCTGTGGTATCACTCAAATAAATTTTGAGATAATGCTAATGATATAGTTGTTGCCAACATGTGGATACTCAAACAGGATATTGGAATAATGTAGAGATAACTGTGCGCGCATTGCAATTCACAAGGATCACGAAAGTAAGGCTGTTACAGCAGTTTCTGTAGTTTGGAAGGGGTGCATTGTGGAAGAGATGTTTTCCTAAAGAAAAATGATATTTTGGCCTTGAGATATGCACATCGGATTCAAATCACCATGTACATCATTATTTACAGGAATACAAGTGATCAGATGGTGTAAATCCATCAGTGAAATAGTCCTTATTATTGAGAATCACAGCAAACTAAATACTTTTCATTTTTCGAATGTCCAAAGATAAATGATTTATCCCATCTTGATTTCAATTATTTATTATATCCACTATCACCTCCAAAGTACTCCACATAATCATAATCAATTACTTGCTCACACAGTATTTTTCTATGTTGGTTCATGTTGGGATCAGGGCTGATGTTATTCACAATTTTTCAGATTTTCGTTCACAAAGATATGGAATCTGTTCTTGAGTCACTTGATAAAGATGTCATCCCAAGAGATTATGGTGGCCATGAGAAATCTTTAGATGAGCTCGAAGGTAAAGAAAAACTTCCGTATTTTTTTAAAATCATATACCTGATCGATGGACAATCATTTTTATAGAAATGAAGGTATTTTGCACATGAATATTTCGTTAACCTAGCTCTTGTTCAAACAAATAGCCACACAACTTGGCCGGAATACCTGAAAACGAACAGACATAAAAAAACGACAAGAATCTAGAACTGAACTAAATATTGCAAATATTCGTGAAAAATTATGATCAAAATGAAGGAACTATCTATTCGAATACACGCCATTTTGTGGAGATCCACATTTTTCATATCATTATATCTCTAGATATTCATCATTTCCTATAATTATCCTTGAATTGGGTAAAAATATTCGTTTCTGATAAAAGTCTTTAGTTTCTTTATTGCTGATAATGTTCCACTTCTTCAAACTGAGAATGAAATCTTTCTTGAGACTCAGACTTATCATCTTGCTTTCTGGAATAACCCTCGTAGTACTCGAAGGACTCGTGGAAGTTGAAGTTGATGCATAAAAACTCGGATATCTATTCCGTGCGAGAATCTACTTATTTACACCTTAACAGCTTCTCATGATTAACAAAGCGCAGATGAAGCATGTTTCAGAATAGAGTTCACATAATGGGGGTCAGTACCTGAAAATACGCTGATGCCCTGTGATTCCATCCAGATAAGATACCACAATCTCAAATGCATTAACAACGTTGGAACATCTTGAAAAAGTCAGTGACCTTTCATTCTTCTATAGATACTTCCACAGGAAATTGAATTCGGAAATATCTGCTGACAATCCATCACTAGCAATACTAGTCAGACGAAATCGACTAGCCCCGACAGCACATCCTTGCGTCGTCAGCCCTAAAATATATCGAACAACACGTTATCAGTACTCGTTTGTCTGCAGAACGGCAAGGCTTTGGATTTCTTGCCGAAAGGAAGTATTTCGAAGGAATTTCAATCTCGAAAAGTTCAAAAAAATCTTTTTCTCTCTCCTTCATAGGTACGCACGATGAGTTCACGAATATTATAGGGATTCCCTCTCGTGCGCTCCAAGAGATAAGGAAAAAGTGAAATTCCAATCACTGTGGTTTCATGGCTGCTTCACTGAATATTCGTATGACATACATTGTATAATGTCATCACGGCCGATACAGCTAGGTCAAGACATTTTGACTCATAGAATTGTGCAAGGAAGGGTAGGTGATTGTCTAAGATTGTTCACAAGAGAGCGATCATTTATTCCTGACTTGTTTCGAATGTTTACTTACCAAATTAATTCGGTTTTTTATACTGATTGTTTCATCAAACAAAATTGATAGTTTTTCGTGTGTATCTTGTGTTGTGATAGGCGTGATGATAATGCCCGTCACGTGTTGTGTATCACAGCGACAAAAATATTATAAGAATCGGAAAGTCGGAAAGTTGGTCTAGAAATTCATGTGATGAGTATTTTCATTGAGATATACGTATATGGTATTCGTTCTTCCTTTGATGTTGACTCAGAAAGTACATAGCAGCCGAAGGTTTCTTTCCATCGAACATTCGAATGTATAGCAGGTTTCTACAGAGTGTGTGAGTTACATTTTATCGAAGGTAGTATAAATTCATCACGTCATATGTCACGTGACACCTGGCACGTGACATATGACACATTAAAATACATTCAACTTCTCAACACAATCGATCATAGTTCACTCGAAAATAGCCGGCATTTGTTTCCTAATTATTGGCAGCAGATACAGTCAAGTTGAATTTGTCGAATGCGTTGTCTTGTCAATGCCAATAATTATTATAAGTTTGGGTAACGAATAATCCAAGAATTTGTTCTCGTACCTATTTTCAGTGATTGACAATTCAACAGATTTCGTTCAAATAAAGCAACAATGTTTCCGACAGTGGTGCCAATTCAATTCACATTCAATATTTGAAACATCTGTAGCCAACCTCACGATATAAAATGTCAAACTCATGAAAATATGGTCAATTCCACTCCTTTCATCAGATTCGGATGAGTTCGCGAGATGTCCTTGAGTCTGAAAAGTGGTGATTATGATTTTTTCCTACTAGCGTGCGGAAAAGTTCACTTTTCCGCACTCATTTCAGTGTTGAAAAAGTCACTTTTCCGCACTGAGTGCGGAAAAAAGTTTTTTCCGCACTCATTGCGGAAAAGTGAATTTGTTAAGTTTCAAGGAAATATACAGAGGGTTATGTAGAAAGCTCACCAAGTTTCCAAAAGGGCCTATCGAATAAAATATTGAACTTCAGTGACGCTGTCCCTGGCCCGTCCACTAGTCAGCAGCTGTTACCAGTGAAGCCTTCCGAAATGACCTCTTCCAGCCAAGTTCCGATGGCCACGGTTGCTGACAAATCAATGGAAAACCGTAATATTACTTCATTAGAGAAAACTTCAGCTTCTGCAATTAATTTGCAAATTGCAACAAATTGCACGTTCAATATTAATATTAATTATAATTAATTTGCGAACTATGTATTTAATGATGAATGTATCTCCATCTCCAACACTCCGGTTTTTTTCGCACGCTAGTAGAAAAAATGGTGTACCCAACACGTGTGGAAAGTGACACTTTACCGCACGCGATTGCAGATGGCCGAACAACGCCTTAGCGGAGTTCGGCCAGCACTTGTTAGGTGAACTACTATTTCTACCTCATAAATATTATCTATCTGCCTGTTCAGTTCGTTGAATGAAACTATCAACGTTCTGTCAAAGAAGTCTTCGCAAGACCGAATTTGCCCCATCGTCGATAAACCTGAAAGATTCGAATATATCCTGTGCCATTGCTTCAACCAGAAAAATCTAGACTTCCTGGAAATTCGAAATTTGTAAACAAGTTCTTTGAGAATGGCCTAGTTGAAACGTTCAGTATTTCATGAATTTTCCTAGAAGACATTGAAACGAAAAGTACAGATTTCCGTTCCTTTTGTGATCAGATTCTTCAATGTCTTCTACTCATCACTCCACTCAAATTTGGTCATAATATTACTGAATATAATGTATAATTCAGTATCAAGTTGCTCCTATCTCTAATACGGAAGTTTTCGATCAAAAATGTGGAATGACTTACCAACTATCGACTTCGTCGAGAATAACTCCAGATTTTTTTTATTCCAGCTGATTTTGAGAAGAAATTCGAAGAGTACGCAAATTTCTTCGATCAGAGACAGAAATTGACAGTCAATGAGAATTTGAGACCTGCAAAGAATATGAACGACGAAGTTCTTGGCTATTATGGAAATTTCAAGAAGTTGGATGTGGACTAATTCTTTGTTGAAGCCAAAGAGAACGAAGTCATCTAGATCTGAACTGAACCTGATGAATTCATCTGGAAAATATCTTATTCTTGCATATCTGGATCTGAACTCAACCTAATAAATTCATTTGCTAAATAAATTATCCTTTGTTATATGTATATTCTCATCAAACGAAAAGATATATTGAGTTATTGAGAGTATTTTTCATGAAGGATCAAGGCTATATCAATCCCAAAAAATTCATGGGCCAAAATTGAGGAATGGTATCTCTTCAACAGAGTGTTCTCAAACCTTTTCTACAGATTAAATGTTAAAATAAAAAAATCGCTAATGACTCTGATGATGCAATAATAGCAGTACATTCTTTCCGGAGGTGGATGAAATCCTTTGAGGACAGCAGGAAGAAACAAGTCTCTTCACGGTATGGTGTGGGAGTTCCTATACGTAGGTATATACCTACTCAACACTACACCTCCTTCCAAGATTTGTATGACCGCAGTATTAGATAACACTTCCAGGCCTATTGGAATCTATATCGACTATGCCGATAAAGATTGCACCATATACGACCAAGAGAGTTCTTATATGAGGGCCACTTCAAATACCACCAAAGTTACTGTTAGCACTCCTGCTCACAGTACCAGAGGTTCGTTTGAAAGACCTTTGTCGTTCAGGTTCCTGAAGAATAATCTTTCGAGGTTCAAAGTTTCTCTTTTCTCACAAATAGTGACAAGATTCCACAATTTGTATCAGGTTGCCAGAGCCGCGTTCATATCCGCGATCAGAAGTTCACAAATTGTCACATATTGGCACACATATTTCCACAAAAGACGAAATGTATCCTGAAGAATGAATAAGATACCAGGATATCCAGCTAGGGTAACTATGGTTCCTGTACCCACAAGTCGTGAGCTCCTAAGCAGAAGCAGAACCAAGCTTCTAGGTTCTGGGTTGAGTTTTTTTTTATGTTCTGGTTCCCACGGAAAGGGAAATCCTGTAATGTTCAGAGAACATCGTTACAACCAAGGGAAATGAGGTGGAAAATGGTGTTCTTCTTGAATTTCTGGACGTTATATGCCTTGGGGAACACCTCTTTTGGCAATGTGTTCCAGAGACTTGCTGTCCGTTGGATAAAACGAGTCTTTCGAGAGATATGTTCTGCAGGTCTTCGAAGTGACCACGAAGGGGTGCGGAGCCTCAACTCGACGGGTTGGTCTCGCGGGGACTGCCTAGAAAGGAACAATTGTTGATATTTCAGAAGAACATCGTCAATGGTAATATCTGTAAGAAAGAGCCAGATCGCCAACATTCCTACGCTGTTCCAGAAAAGTGAGTGGGTTTGTGAGCGAGGCATCACTCACGGCCCTTCTTTGGACAGAATCCAACAGTTTCAGGGTATGTTTGGGTGCTGCACTCCAAATATGGGAACAGTATTCCAGGACAGGTCGGATCTGTGCCTTATAGATCATGAAGCAGCTGACTGGAAGAGAAATAGCTCCTGGCCCGAAACAGGAAACTAAGTTTTGGGATGCACTTTCAGCAATGGAGAAGTTTCCTATATTAGGGTTCTTATCTCACTGTGAAGTTTGTAAAAAATTAATATATACGTATTTTCCCTTTTTTTGGTAAGATCAAATATCACTTCAGAAAAAAATAAATAAAAGAGGAACTTGGCTCCTTCACCATTTCTATGACGTAATTTCTGAAAATCCACATTCACACAGAGTTAAAATACGATTTCCTGTGTCAGTACGACGTTGCCGACATCATCAATATGTCTAGATTTCCGGAAATTGTTCTTTGAATGCATAATAACTATTTTTCATAACAGCAATGGGATATAAAAGGTCCTTCAATCCTACTTTGTCAAGTATTATGATTATTCCCACAAATCTCTCATTGGCTGAATGAAGTTGCTTACTAATAAAGATAAATTGTGATATTTTGCGATAGTATCTATAATTTTTCACTATCGTTATATTACTATATGTTATTTATAACTTGTCAGTCATTTTTTTGCTGATAACTTCGTTCCTTAATGAAACGGATCTATCTTCTAGGAACGTTGCAGATTATATCTTGCAACAGCGTCAAATACTTCGAGTCCGCCCACACCACTCAAAATACTGACAGGCACAACAAGAGGAAAGAGGCATGAGCGTCGGCTTCATTCTGTTCTGACCAATGACAGTAAATCAGGAAGGATAGTATCATTGAATGAAGACGATAGTCATTCGTTGATTCAATGATAGTTTCGGTTAGGATCGAGCTCTATTCCAGATATTTCAATGCACAAATAACAAAACCATAACCTGTCAGAATGGAGCCAACTACCCTCTGCATTCCTGCTCCGAGTGCATTCGTGGTTATGTTTGTTTTTGTATACCAGTTTTACTTCTTCTTAAATTTTTTTCATTCGTTTTTCATTCGTTAGCTATTCGTAGCTATTCGCTAGCTATATTCTTCACCATCAGCTATTTTCAGACTAGAATCAGAATGTACGTCACAGTTTGCCGCCCCGAAAATTAGATATTGCTTCAATTTGAAAATGAAACCGACTTGGACACTATCGGTCGCCATTCTGTACAGCGTGGACATAAAACTAGAGAGTTCCGAACTTAATTTATGAAAATTCATCTGAAGGAAACTTCCCCATTGATCTCACGTGATTTCCCCAAGAAAGGTTATCGCTGATAGTGAAACCAAGCATCGAAATGGATGTCTTCAAAGGTATGGATATTCCTGACAAGCTCATGTTGGGCACAGTGAGATCAGCTTTTCTTGAGAAAAGGCATGCTTGTGTTCTGTTCGCATTGAAATCTACCAAGTTATTGGGTATTGAGTTGTGCAAGATCTCTTCAAATATTTTGATGTCTGAATATGTAGACGAAAAATGTGATTATAATCATTTCATCACCCAGGATTGAATTTTTTCGCATTTATGACCTATTCAACACTTAGACAAAATGATTATTGAATGTGTGTGTGAGTATAACTCTCAGAATCTGTCAATATGACATATTTATGATATCGTGTTTAGGAAATCTCAGTAATAGCTTTCGATTCGAGACAAAAATTTGAGGGACCTTCAGCACTTCATACATATATGATAAGGAAAATTGGATGACTTGATCCTTCTGGATCAAAAAAAAATACCTAGCAGATCCGCCAAGATCGTGCCATACAGATATAAAACTGATATTTCTATCACATGGTGTTGCAATTGACTGACCTATAGCTTGATTGACAGAATTAATCTGCCTGACATCACAGCTGGCAGAATGAGGTAAATATAAATTCGAATACAAAACCAAGTTTCGCTGTATCAATAAAACATATCTCTAAGTAATTGACTTATTGCATCTTCTAACAGTTCGAAGCGAGAATTATCAAATTCATATAATTTTCTTGCACCTTCCTCCCCACCACTCATTCTTCACAATTCTATGTGAAAAATGTATCTTGAACATGAAAGAACTTGCTATATTTCAATATCATATATCCCCAGTAAAAATGAATCTGAGACTTCTGCAAAACTGTGTTGAAATTGCCACTTTGTTAGGCGCCAAAATGTTACGAACATAATAGATGTAGGTGAATTATTGACAATCTTATAATGGTACTCTACTCTACTCTATTACGAGAAACCTAACATGGGAATCGGAGAATTGTTTCAAACAGACAATCGCAGGTCTTCTGAAGGTGCTATGTAGGAATAAAGCCATAATGACGCTTGGTCCGGACTCCGTTCGTTTCTCTACACAGAAGATGTTCCCGCGTACTCAACAAATAGAGGAAATCAGCTTCCCAGACGATCTTCAACGTCGTTCAATTCTCTTTCTTGATCTGAGACATCGAATCTATTTCTGCCCCTTGGCCCATTCTCTTCGTCTGTTATTATTTTCCTCAATTGACAACCATCGAATAATATTCCACTTTTTCCCCATTCTCCTAATCAATAAACAAAGTACTCTTTACTCTTCCAGAATATATTGATGGACTCGAACTGAGAACCATCTCAAAATGTTGACAAATTGATATTTCAAAAACTTCGACAAGAATTTTGAAATATTCTCTATTATTGAGTACAGGATATTGAAGCAAAATGTTGGATAATTGCTTTGAGGACTTCTGTGGGGAATAATAATAATAATAATAACTATGATATCAATATTCGTCTTAGTTATTCTCAAATGAATTCATACATATATAATATATGATGGTAAAAAATACATAGATATGTTTGAAAATAAAGGGCGAAGTTTATTTTTGATTGGGTACTAGACGCAACCAACAATATTCTTCCACTTAACCCAAAACAGAGACGTGTTTGATGTTGATTTCTACAAAGATGAAATTGAAACTAATTGCACCTCTCACAGAATTCTTTATCGCTGAATGGAATCATAATGATTAAAAAAAATGATTAAATCAGGCAAAATGGAAAAAAAAATAATGTCACCATGCACACAGCAGGATGGATAATGAATCCTATATAAGATTTGTTCACGTACCTATATATGCGTAAAACACGAGCACTGGAATTCAAAATGTTATGAATCTTTCAATGTTGATAATTCAAAAGATGTATCTTGAAGTTTTCTTCGAATTTTACGACACTAAAGTTGATGAGATCGAGTTGTAAAGGTTGTATACCTGGTAACTGGAGGAGCGTCTGAACATTTCTGTTTCAGAGGGACCCCCAATTCCTCACATTTATGTTGTGTACATCAGTGCGATAGATGATTTCACGATGCGAATATGGAGGTTTTTCATTCACGATACATAGATTAGCAAGGTATAGCTTCTCCCTGTTCCCCATATTCAGCCATCTAATATCCTTAGTTCATGCAAGATTCTTCCTCGTAGACATGAATTCTGAACTTTCTTATTTTTTTTTGTATTGTACAGTTGAGTTGAATGAAGACAAAACTGATGTTTCACGGAGTACTCTCTCAATTTTTGTAGGAAGAAGATATCGGTTACCAAAGATCAATTTAATATAAGAGTAAGCACGCTGCATCAATGTCTTTATATGATTTTCGAATCTCAAGTCAGAATCCATCACTACGCCCAGATTCTTCGTTTCATTCACCTGCACTATTCTCTCATTATTTATATCAATATTGATTTGAATAG